CTGACGCTATGTTAAATTATACGAGAGAGCAACATTACCAAGAGTATCCTGATGTAAATATAGGCATTGTACAGGGAGGTCGAATAAGGACCTCAATATTCCATGAAGGTAAACCATTCACGGTTACTAGAGGCGATTGGATAAACGTCTTGCCGTTTTCAGACTCGTTGACAATAATTACAATGAATGGTGCTACATTAAGAGAGAGTCTAGAACATTCCGTATCAACATGGCGTACTACTGATAGTACTGGACAATTCCAACAATTTTCTGGAATGCAAGTCACTTACGACTTAGCTAAGCCTGTTGGTTCTCGCGTTGTCAGCGCTAAAGCAGTTTGTTCCAATTGCGGATTCTACGACTTACAAGACATAAAAGAAGAATATGAATACAAAGTGATGATGCCAACATTCCTAGCTGAAGGAGGAGATGGTTATACTATGTTCACGAGTCTCCCAAGTAAATCTCTTCCGTATAATGAATTGGATAGTGTTTTATACTACTTGGCAAACTACAGCCCTGTGGATACGCATTTAGACGGTCGTATAATACTACTCAATGAAGACAAGATTAAAAACTTAGATAGCAAACCTGAAAGAAGATTGCATTCAAACGCAGTGCCTATTAAATCTAGACTAACATGGTTCTATGTACTAACAATATTAGTTATATCTTCTTAAATACTCATTTAGGACCAAAATAATAATAATTAAGATTTTTAGTGATCTTGTTTCAATCATGATTGATTCTTTTATAAATCATTTAGATATTCCAGTTTTAGATATTTTTGTAGCATTCCTTCCATAACGTGATATGACCTGGAATCACTGCTAGCAGTAGAATTCAAGTCTTTATAGTATTATGTATTTAGTATGCTTTTTATGTAGCAAATGAAGTAGATAGAAAATCATGTGATAGTTTTATAATTATAATAGTTTATTTGGGATATTTGTTGATTTTTATGGCTATGACATACTTAATAGCTTCGATTATTTATACGTCTCTGCCTAAATTGACTGTTAGTACAATCTCTCTAGTATCATGAACTTATTTGCCATGAACAATATTTTGTTATAATGGAACACTCAATTTTTATGTAGACGTATAAATTGATTTAAGCTTGACTATGTACTCAAGACGTATGTACTCTTATCCATTCAGATAACTACCTCTGTTAAGTACAATCGTATAAAAATACATATAGCCCCAATTGTTGTTTTGTTAGCAAGTACATTTGCAGTGGCGTTAACTACAGGGTAACAAATCGGGAAAATGCCACGGGCACGGCCCCCATTCAGGTTATCATCAGAACTTTGTTTTTTAAAGGAACTATCCGATGAATTTACCACTGGCCCCAACGGGTTTAGTTACGCCTCTGCATATTTGAGTCGTTCATGTTTATACTGTTATTTAATATTTCATTTTAAAACATGTTGCATTTTAAAACATTTATTCAGTTTAAACTGAACTTTTAGTGTAGTAAAATGATTGTATGTTTTTTGTAAAATGTAAGGATGTTTGAAAATTAAAACAGATTCTAATTTGACACACATTTATTATTAGACAGTTGAATACAATTATTGCACCTATTGTGCCTACAAAAATGTGAGATAATGTATACACATAGAGTATTGTAGTACAAAAAGTCTCCTGTCTCCATTTATAAGAAGGTAAGTTAAATTCTCAAAAATACACTAGGTACGAATACCTAGAAAAAAATATTAAAAATAACATATATTTTAGGAAAAGTTATACATACTTCTAAAAATAGATATTAGCAAAAATTTGACATTTGGAGACTTTTTGTTTTATAAGGTACAGGATACCCAGCAGACCAACCGTCAAAATTTAATAAATTTTCAACGTTACATTATAGTAATAAAGTCGAAATTCTATTAAATCTGGCGTCTGTACCTGTAGTTCGCAATAAACTTTACGACAGCTTGGAAATTTCTACGAGTTGCAAGCGCAAAGCATATCCACAGCAGTAAGTGCGTTTGACTCCGGCGCCACACGTTAGGTGCAAAGTTCGCCCAAGGCAACTCGCCCAACGTATCTGAAAAATAACATTGGTTCCAACGTTGGAGCGAGTTGCGTTGGGGCCAACGTGTAGGGTCAAGGTAAACAAAACCATACTGCGCCTTATTATTATTATTCAATAATAATTTTCTGACACTCGTAGCCAACTTCCGATCTGTCACTAAGTTTGTACACAACCACGAAGTATAGAGGTAAAGAGTATCCGTTGTAATCAAAGGGGAATCATAGTCTAAGAGAGTTACAAAAAAGCAAGGACGTTGAAACAACGGCGGACATAATGTCACATAAAAATGAATGAAGCACCAAAATGTATGTCAATGGGTTATTTATGTGTGCATGTGTACTGGGTTACCACGCCACCAGAGGCCTTAGAACGAGTTTCTTTTTCGTGTAAAGTAATCGAAACGAGACGGCGTTCTGTGCTCTGATTGGTTGGTTCATTAGAGCCGGCCAATCACAGCGCCGAACGCGTACTCGTTACGATTACTTTAAACGAAAAAGGAACTCGTACTAAGGCCTCTGACTTAAGGAACTGACAGATATCGTTCGTGTCAATGTGTGTGTGTTCTGCGTGTAAGTCTATAGTAACCAGCAGCTGTAGCCAAATGCCATTTAGCGCTTATCTACTTGTAGAATAGAAAACCATAATATATGGAATTGACGTAAATTTTGTCACTTGTCAGTGTCATCCCTATACATTATTATGTTATAGTTTTCTACTCTCTCTGTAGACAAGCGCTAAAGTGGCGTTAGGCTGAAGGCACAGGAGACAAAGTTGAAAGCACAGCGGCCAGAGTCTCTTGAAACAACTTTCAAGAGAATGTGTCCGCCTATTTTTCAACATCCTTGCATAAAAGTGGTTACCAAACTGCGAGAATTGGGTAACACTACCGTGGTCAGAGTCCTGTGCTATTAAATGGGGAGCTACCATTTTTTATTCACCAGCTGATGTCACGTCTGTTCGTCCAATAGAAATCAGCATAGCGCAGCATGTTATAGCTGCAGTGATTGAACAAACAAGCCTCAGGGTATTAGTACCATCTAATGCGCTAAAAAATGGTACCTCTTTAAGGCTACTGTAAGTACCAAAAAGGTGTTATATTACTATAATGTAATTATAGAAACAGGATGGACTCTATACCACTATACTCCATGTACAGGACTAAGAATATTTTAAAATACAGTTCGCATCAAATGTCTTGTCCATATTGTTAAAATAATATCAATTTTTTTTCAAGTCAGTAATTATAATAATAAAATAGATAGCAAATGTCTAAAAACTAAGACATTTGATGTGACTGTTCACAATAATACACATAGGAGATTATATTCCTTATTACTACTGATTTTATAGTCATAATCAGAAATATATAAGTACTGTAAATATGAATTATAGGGTATTTGACCATTTATCGATTTAATACATTTATTTCCTAAAAACAATTAAAATTGACTTGACAGAGAAATACAAGAAATAGGTACAGAATGGGAACCAGTATCTGAACAATATACACGTATTTATGAACAACCAAAATATTACTAATATACTTGGAATACTTTCAGTAGACGATGGTGATTTAAAAAAATATTGAGCTCAGAACATCAACATAGGAATTTGCAATAGCAGTGGTCTTGTTGTGTATCAAAGATTAGGTACACATCAGTTGCTATAACAGATAGAATAATAATTCTGATATGAACAACTATTAATACTGTGCTACATAGTATGTATGTTTATATGTTATATCAAGTTTAGTATTGAATAAATTAATTACTGTGTGAACTGTTCTTAAGAGGATAATCAAATTAAATACGTACGGTAAAACGGGGTGAATAGATAGAAGTAAATTCAAGAGGTGAATATTTATTTATTTATTTATTTATTTATTTATTTATTAACGCTTCATGCACAAAGTGTACACAAGGTGGACTTAATGCCGCAGGCATTTTCTCCCAGTCTGACCTTTGGGTGATGCAGAGAAGAGTGAATGGTTATAGGAGCAAGAAGCAGGCAACGATTTAATTGAGAAAATAGAAGATTATACTAACATATTTCAGAAATGAACATAAATAAATATAATAGTAATACATATACCTACATACGATACTACTACATAGATGCAGACATTCCTGTATCTATTCACCTCTCGAATTCTATTCACCCCGTTTTACCGTAATTGTAAGTAACAACAAAACAATGTTTTTTTTCAATCAACTCGATCAAATACCCTAAGAAAATAATAACAAAAAAATAGTACAGTCAAAATACTTATGATAATACCATTCCAATACTCTTATAATCTAAGAATAAATACGTCAAAACTACTGAGTACACAAACATTTAGGCCATTCTTTATAAATCTGATATTTTCTTATGAAATCGTTAGACCATGACTGTACCAGAATCAAAAAGAGACAGCAATAGTGTTGGTTTCTTTCTATAGCAATATCGATGACATTTTGCCATCTCAAAAATTCAGTTTCAGTAATTATATTAATTGTAATTGAATATTATATTATTAAATGTTATAATGCAATGTTATTAAAGTACGGCAAGATTTTTTAAATGTTTTTTTTATTTGTTTCGAGATACCACTAATCCCTCTTTGGATATGAATTGTCAGGTTAGTTTTATATAATAATATGTATTTCTAATCCTTCAGTCCTTATTCCTTTCCCATCAATCACATTACTCTATTCACCGAACCTTGAAAGGCAACTCAATTTTAAGTTGTACTTAAATATCGTGCCCTCTCTGTCATTTTACAAAGAATTTGTTGAGACAGGGTGCCAAACAGCTATCGCATTCGTAACGTAATAGTATCGAGTGCATTCGCCGCTCTGATTGGCCGGCTCAAGTAAACCAACCACTCAGAAGGCTTAGTACGAGTTCCTTTTCGTTTAAAGTAATCGAAACGAGACGGCGATCGATGCTCTGATTGGTTGCTTCATAGGCGCCGGCCAATCAGAGTGCCGAACGCGTACTCGTTTCGAATACTTTAAACGTAAAAGAAACTCGTACTAAGGCCTCAGAACGCCGAACGCGGTCAATACAATAACGTTACGAATGCATAGCTATTCGTGCTAGGCATTCAGATCTATATTTAAGCGCGACTTAAAATTAAGTAACGTTTGAGTATTTCAGCGTATGAAAAGTACTTACAGTATTATAGAAATAAGTACTTCTCATTTACTTTCGCTCTTCAAGAGCGTAACAGCACCAAAACAAATTTTAGATGTTAAAGCTTACTATTATTAGTATTAGGCTCAATTTTAACCAAACCAAGTTTTAAACCTGTAAGTTTTAAAAACTTTATCATAAATAAACAATAAACTTTATTTTCAATATAATTATTATAGTGTAAAACTGTTTATATTATTTATAGGCGTTGTCTGAACCATAGAGGTGTTATTCAGTAGCAAAAGATTGCTATTATTGTCCTTATTTATACAAAAAGTCCTAAATAGTGAAAGTTCATAGTGGACACCTATATGGTCCTTAATATTTGGAGTAATTTGTGCATCATTATATAAGCCTTGGTTTAATGAGTTTAATAAGTAATTTTAGTACTGTGTTGGCATGTTTCTACTCTCTGTTACTAATTGTGGAAACCAGTAATTGGCTTCTTGTTGTACCACGTTCTATTTAATCAAATTGTATAGCTGTTGGTTTTCCAAATGTATAAATAAATAAAATTTTACTAATTTATTATGAAGATAGCTAATTCGATTAGTAGTTGAGTTAATTAGTATGATAGGCTTGTCAATGTAATGTCCAAATCAAACTAAACCAAATCAAAATAAGATAATTTTACTATTTAGACATTTTATCCATTTCGCAAATAACTATAAAATTAAAACACCTTTGGATCAGACATACCAATATAAAAAAATCACATAACAAGACTAAAATTTGAAATAATAACAAAAAAATATGCACTTTACGACTTACAGGTTTAATTCTGTTCACCCCATAGGCCTTATATATTTCAAATATTTTTTTTTTATATAAACAACCTGTTCTAAATCCCTTAAAGAGTTGGTCTTTCCATTCCAGCATCTAATGTCAACCCTGATAGTATTTTAATGGCACAAACAACACCAATACATAAATAGTAACATTATTATTAAATATACGTTAATTAATAAACACTACAAATATTACTGATGATCAGAAAATATATGTTATAGTATGAAAATATGTGTCATAGATACAGAATTATATTTTCTTTAAGTACAGCATAGCAAATAAAAGTTTAGACTTAGTTGAGGTCGCTAGTAACTAGTACTAGATTAAGATAGTATCAGGTTGCCACAGGTTCGACGTTGATTCGGTCGTCGTCCAGTTTTGTTATTTAGCTATCAAGTTTAAAAAGAGGAGGCACCTACTATGATCGGACGATTGTTTTTTCATGGGATATGGTCCGAAGTGGGTGATTCAGTCCAAGTCAATATTAATTCCAGCTGTCACCAAGTCGAAACTCTTTTTTACCAAGCTGTAGGTCTGCAGGTAACTTGGATTTGATAAAAACCTTATTCTTCAAAAAAGAGACTTCAAAAAAAGGACGATTGTCTCTGACAGGCAGTTTTATTTTAATTGTTTTACTTTCAAAACTGCTTTTCTTGCTTTATGAAAATACTAGCGACCCGCCCCGGCTTCGCACGGGTGCAATATACATGTATTATACATATAAACCTTCCTTAAAAATCACCCTATCTATTAAAGACAACCGAATCAAAATTCGTTGCGTAGTTTAAAAAATCTAAGCACTTTGTTTTATACTATGTAGTGATACTACTACGCTTCTTTGTCTTCAAATATCTATAATTTTTATGCCAAAGTACTCAAGTACAATGACGCAGCTGAAGTCAATATCAATTGTAACTGGTGCTGAATAAATGTTTTTCCTTTCTTTTCTTTCTTTCAATTAACTTATCAGTCCAAAAAAGGTTTCTTTCTATTTGATTTTCAATAAAAAGTAGTACTCATAGATATTATATATTAATTATATATCAATAAAAAGTAGTACTCATAGATATTACTGTCAATACACCCTAAAATGGCTCGAGATGTCATATAAATCGCAATAAGAGACCTTTGCCAAGCAATTACGTAGAGGTGTTAAAAATTTTGAAAACCATAAAAGGGCTTTATGACGTAACTCGCTATGCAATACCCAGACAGTTTTTTTTTTTATATAATATTATAGATTATTTCTCCACGGACTCTAGGTCCGTGCCCTTGTCATACAGTTTAACACCCAGACAGTTTGTAGACATACTATAACCAATTTTCTGATCAACAGTAATTAGCTAAATATTTAGACATCGATGTCACACAAAACTAATCTAAACATGAATCCAGCCACTAACTGGCTTAGTTGTACGACAAAGACAAAACTGTAACATTAATACAATAAATACTGACAATTTTCAAAAAAAAATCTAAACCAAGATAATTTAGATTGTCAGTAATCAGGCCTGAACAACGATGTATGACAACAGAAGGTAGTACTGTGTTAAAGATAACCAAAATCACTGTTCAACAATCCAAGTTTATAGGTATTCTAACTCGCCAGCACTACAACACATGCTACAATAACAGAGGAGTATGCTTTTTAATAAAATATATAAACTGAAGAATAACATAATATAACAGTTACTTTTCCAACCCCCTCACAATTCATCTGATATTTTTCATACCCTTTCCTAGCCCCGAGGACTATACTCTAATCTCACAAAATGTGTCATAATATCCCTGTTATCTCATTAGTCTTCTGAATTTCGTCTTTTCAATAAACCGACTCAAAACTTAAACATTTTAAACTTATTCTAAAATACTTGTAGAGACTAGAATTCAAAATGTTAATCGCAAAAGCAAAATTTATACAAAATTTGTGCGAAAACTGAAACACTTATTTTGAGTACAAATTGTATCGGTACTGTTAATACCAATGTTTCTATTATTTGCATTAAAAAAGGCCCAATTATTATCGGATTTCAAGGGTAATTGATGCACCTTAAAACTAAAAAGGAATGTTTGAGACATTGTCTTTTATATGCAATTTCAAAATTAGTCACTTTAGTTGGATAAACCTAATAATTTCACGCAAATTCAATCTGCTCTTGAAGAAGTTTGGGAAAGATCCCTACTTAATGAATATCTCGTGAATCCTTTTCACTTAGGTACACAATCACCCTATATGAAAATCTCAAATAATAAAACGAACCTTCAGTCAAAACAACAGACAAAAACACAAAAAATACAAATCGCGTAGCACAAAACTTCAGAAAAAGTTAAATAAAATATAATGAAATAAATAAGCAAGACAATCTATTTAAGCTGCAAGATCACGGGCTCCTTCTCCAGAAAAGAATTTAGTACTGTGTTTAGGTAACACGGGTGGAGGAATATGAAAGTCAATGGACTTTGTGAATTTAACAGGGAGAACGCCTGCAAGTATCTGAAGACATTGCTTCATCATCTCCTGAACATTAGCCGCCTCTTTGCAAGGAACATAAGGTTCTAAAGCTGTAGCCAACTTACACAAGGGCTGGAACTCCTTCATAGCGCATTCCTTATCAGCTTTCTGGAGAAATGTAATCACCTCATCGCTCAAATGCTTGTTTATCATCTGTACCACTTCTTTAGGTAGGTTTTTGGCATGTGGCAAGTCAAGATAATTCGGCCAATCATACACGCAAGCTTCGCATTTGCAAGTGAATTTGTACTGAGAAAGTAAAATAGCATGCCGAGTCTGCTTGTCAGTAAGTGCATGGTGAGCTCTGGAAAAAGAGATAAGTTGTATTAGAATTTTTATTACATTGCAAAAAATAAATGAAATCATTATTTCATTGTAGTAGTAAATAAATTAGTATTTCCATTCTGTTAAAAATTAAACTTTAGCTGTAGCATGTTAATCATCAACACTTTTGTCTCTTGGCATAACTTCTAGACACTTCATTAAATAAGATCTTAAAAATGTCTACTTTGGCTCCACATCATCGTATTCTGTTGCATGCATCATTTGCAGGCCAATGTCTTCACTTGGTTCCACTTCCAGAATAAATTTGGAGTTCAACTGCTCTTCATCACGGACCAGCTCGAAGCACCTAGGTTTAATTACACGAGTGTTGCAGTATTAGTAGGCATGGTATTCATATTTCATGTTAACAAATTTAACTACAAATATGTCACACCAACATGCAATACATTGTGTTATTAAGAAGTTAAAACCATGCATACATGCTTTTTGTTTCTGAAATCCATTCCATATAATTCAATATCTGAATAATTCTAAAATTATAGCCCCTATTTTGGTGAAATAACAAGTATTATTTATGATCATTATTGAATTATATGTCTGAATAAGCTTTAAACTCTGTCATACATTTTAAATAATAAACTTACCCATAATTGTCAAACAGTTGTGATCCTTTTTTGATTGGTCTAATAGCAAATAAAGTGGTACGTGAGGTGCCCAATTTAGTGTACCGTACCACATTCGGTGCACATGAATGATTGATCAAACTTAGAAATGCATAGGCTCCACTTGCAATACTATACTCTTCTTCAACATTTCCATTATCAATCTCTACGTTAGTAGAAATGCCATGCATGTTGGTGGGCGCAGTCATAAGATGACGAAGCACATTATCAGCAATGAAAGATTTCAGTTGTTTACGTTCTTCAACATTCTCTGTCTTGATAAAATTGGTCACAGCCAAGATATGCACAAGAACAGCAGCACTGACACATTTTTGGAAAATATCTGAGATATCCCGTTTAGAGACATTCGTGGCTAAAGTATGTATAGAAGAGTAATACTTTGAAGAATAAATCATCTTGCCATCCACTTTCTTGCATCCTTCATCTTCCTTATTGACGCACGAGTCTGCATCAGCCAGGGTCTTAAACAAAGCACTACTATTCGCATGACCTGTCTTAGCTAATATTGTGGTTCGCAGAGCAAGCAGTTCCAATTTAGTGAAATTTGCTTTGTATAAATATGCTCCTACAGGACATTCATATTTATGATATTGCTCCCAGGCGTTGGCGCTACAATCCTCAGTACAGTATAGAACAAGTACACAATATGGACAGGGCTTTAAATTATATTTCCTTGAAAAACAATGAGCACATGAGATACTATACTGTGACTTCAATAGCACTTGGACAAATGGATCTTCTTGAACTAGTACTTCACCAACTTCAATATCCTCATTGGCAATTACATGTCTTCCCAATTCGGGTGTATATTTAACTGCGAGTTTAGAGCTTGCATCAATATACCTTTCATGTTTGGGCACCTTGAAACTGAATATCTCATTGCCAAGGCAATCCTCATCTTGGTTGTTAGATTTAGGTTTTTCTTTTAATGCATCCTCACATATCTTTTTCCGCTTTAATAATTTATCCCTTATGGTATCAGGATAATCATATTGAAACACAGTTTCAATATCTTTAATGCATTCTTCATGTTTATTCCAAGCTGCGAATATTGCAGATCTATTAGCAATGGCTAAGACAAAACAGTAAGATGGAAAAATAGGCAAAGGAGCATACATCAAAGCCAAATTATAATGTTGCCAGGCCATGGACAAATGTTTCTGTTTATATAAAGCGTTGCCAAGGTTACGGTAGTGGTCAGACTTTCGTGAACACTTGTCTTCCTTCAAAATAAGTGGTATGAGATCATATTCTTTTAAGATCTCATACACATACATTACCTTCTTTTCATTACCTTCCAAATTCATAAGCTCATGTGAAACCTTTTTAATCTTTTTATCTTTTGTTAAATCTTGCAGTACATGTTTATAAATTATATCAATAGTTAAGTCGGTATGGTCAACTGGAAACATTATTGATTATTTCAGTGTTTCATTTACTGTCCTGAAACTAGTACTGTTGCAATGTCACACTTCGCAACGCCCTTTATAGCTATTAATTTGGGCTGTGAAATGGTGTTTGTTATAGACCAGCGCTTGAAAGCGCAAAATATTTCTTTGGACAAATCTGAAAAAGGTGAGTTCTTAGTGTTTACTGTTTATAACCTATAAGTAATTTTAGAGAAATTAAAGTGCTTATTGGTAAACTTTCATTCAAAAACATTTGGAAACATTTATTTTCAGTACTCACCGATGTAGTGACTGTTCTATTTCACCCTAAGCTGCTAGATGAATTATTTACGCCACAACCGGTGGCCACTCACACTCTAATGAAACAACTACTTCAAGATATATCCGCCTCCTCAATAATGAAACTGGATGATTATTCAATGAGCAAGCTATGGGATCTAATGACGATGATCTTCAAATGGCAATTGTCTGTAGCGACGAATCAAAATATTTTCGACATCACCCGCCGACATCTGCGCAGTGTTGCCATGCTAATGCCAGTATTTTTCCCCAAATGCATTATTGAACAAGTCATGAGAAGATTTGAAAATTTAGCTCACCAATTTACTGATGATGACTATAAAGGTCTAAGCAATACACTTTTACTTTGGTTTTCAGAATATCATGCTAAAATATCTGTGCTTCTAAGATTGGGGTTACAAAGAAAAGATGGATCGTTTTATTTACCATCTACAATAAGTACGAATATTTTACATAATGTTGGTGAGAATATTTATAAATATGATAGTAAAAAAAATCCTATTGAAGATTTTGAAAGCCGAAGTGCCGATACGAATGAAATTAACTGTCTCTTAGCAACAATAGAAAAAGTTCATTCTAAAAATAAAATTGAATTACAGTTACCCATTGAATTCGGAGACACAAGCTCGAGAAAGAAAACTTTGGAAATACCCAGAGATATTCAATTTGAAACTATTGATACAAATGTTAAAATTAAGAACCCAGACCTGACTTTCATTCCTGACATTCCAAAATCTCCACAAGAGGACCTGTTAGACATGTTAGAAATACCAGGAGATCAATCAGGAGATTCAATGTAGATGTCGAGGTGTAAAATACCTTCTCCCGATAAAATTGGAAACTGTAACTGGATATGGCTGGCAACACCGAGTTATTGATGGACATGGTATTGATTATTTAGAAAAATAACTTAGAGAATACCTATAAGCACCTACCTGTTGCGTAATTAAAACAAATACCTCCCTGTACCTACCTAGGTAAAGGTATTTGTTTTAGATAATTTATTTACACGATATAGTTGAAATACGTACTATATGCAATATTTTATTACCTATACATCTAAGACCTAGTTTTAGGTAACGCGTGATTCAATCCACGTGGAAAAATTTATGCAGAATTTAATTTTGTCCTATCTCTTTTTCCAACTCATTACTGTTGTGACAAATTACCGCAAAATCGATTCAGTTCTTTATTCGTTTTATAGTGATAGTGTAATAAACTTACTGAGTTAGAAAGATCACATTATCGTCGCTCTTATAAAATATCAGTAGTAGTATTAGTAGTTAGTACCTTTCTTACCTACATAAGTAAATGTAATCCTATATTTTTTAATGTTTGGTTCAGTAAAAATGTAGATACTTGCATTAAATAACTTCTGTAAACGCTCTAATGGAGTGTACCAAAGATAATTTTAAGTTTGTGGCTAGACAAAATGCTAGTTATACAATATTCAAGTTAGTTTCTTTAAAATGATAGTGGAGTAGGTAGGAAATATATTTAATTTTCTTATAGGCTTACTAAGAAAAAATCTAATAAAATAATTATTTAGTAATGTAGAATTTAGATGACAAATTCGTAGTAGTAGTAGTAGTAATAAAGTCAATTAAAGCATGTATTCCGATTAATCCTCTCGTCAAAAATTGAATTGTCCCTCTGTCTGTATGTCTGTCAGTGAACCTAGGCGCTTGCTCGGCTTCAACAGGTCAACACAAATGGTAGATTTGACTTCTTTTTTCTGTTGATTTGGCCTTCTGATATGTTTCGCCAGCCAAATTACTATTTCTCGTAATGGAGAAAATAGAAATCACGGGTCTGTTTTAACATTGTCTATGCATAAAAAAACAAAATAATGTTTCTAGTCTAGAGTTAAATACCAATTTTTAAATGGTTATTCTTTATGTAACTATATTGTATCTGTATTATCTCATATGCTACGCAATCCCCTTTCGCCTGGAAGCATTTATTATAGTCATTCGACTATACCTATAATAAAAAAGTACCTAAAAAAAGAACACATTACATTTATAAAAATACTTTATTTCACACATCACAAGCTCCGAAACCCCATACCGTGTACAGGTACAAACACATCTTTTTAGTTTTCCATACTCAAACAAATTTGACTTTTAATAAAATGACTTAGAGTTCATTGTAACAAAAACATGTGTTTGTATTTACAATACGTAACAAAAATGTTAATTGCATTGAAATGCGAATACAATCATATAAAACTACTAAATCTAGTTCTTTGAGATCTTATTTACAAATTGTATTTACACTTCTTTTACACCTAGTTATCACTATAATAAGTAAGCAGGAGAAATGCGATTATATAGAAAACTAATAATAATAATTTAGACATCGTTGTCTATCGTCAATGTTTCTATTTTGTGAGACATATGTACTAAATTAATTGAAATAAACGGATTTCTTATGTAAACTATTCAGGAATAGCTCAATTAGTTAAGTGACACCGGGACTCATACAAATGAAGCCGTATATTTCAATTAAATAATACCTGATTTTTTTATATATTTTACTGTAAAACATTTACTGAACCTCTTTGGCACATAATTTCGTTGGCCATTTTGTTTTGGCTGCCAGTAACTAAACGAAAAAACATAGATTATAGAAGACATGCTTAGGAATGATATTTATGTTTAAATCAGATCGTATAAAAAAACAATAGCGTATGAATTTTTACTTATAAGCAAAGCTGTAAAGACTCTCATACATAATAGACTTTCCCGATCGATAGACAATTATATTTAATTCTTCTTTCAAGAACTGTCGGTCGATATAAGTCCATTGAGTACAATCGATAAAGTTGGCGGTCGACCTTCATTAGGCGGCATGCACTCGCAGCCAGCCACATGGAGAATGCCTAGATAGTGAGTATACCACAGAATTTTGTTTAAAAAGTGGACTACCGTATTTTGCCGATAGTACCTACACCAATAACACGTAATATCATAATCATAACCAATTAATAACGATCCAATATGTCCTCTAACAAATTCAACCATTTTAAAATCAAAACAAAACTACGATACTTTGGTATCTTTTTTAAATAACGATTTTCACGTCAATTTTGAAATTTGATTCTTGATCTTAATTCAATTAAGTTTTAAGTGAAGCACAATTATGTAACAATAAAAGCTAATACAAATAAATTAGTGTTTTCTTTTATGTTCCTCTGAGAATGCCAGTTGCTTATACTGTAGTGTTATACTAATTCTATATAGTAAATATATCATTGCTTGAAAAATTAAATAACTTATGTTTACTGTCCACGTCGCGTCATTTGACGAATGCATCCATCCTACAAATGATGATAGGTGAATTTGTAGGAAGATAAAGTGATACAGTTTGCATTGTTTCTTCGCAAGATGCAAGCATTTGTCTTGTAATCATCAATTAATTAACGAAATGCGTAGCGTGGCGTGCTCATGACGTAGGGTTTACATTTGAATTGAAGTTGACCTCATAAATTAGTCTATATGTGAATAAAGGTAGCCCGGATACTGAAAGGTTACTCAATTTTAAGTTGTTCTTAAATATCGTGCCATCTCTGTCATTTTACAACGAATTTGCAGTGACAGAACTATGCTTTTTTTTAATGGGGGAAAATCATCGAATGACTGCTCCCGCCTGGGTGAGGCGGGAGGTAGTGTCAGACTCTTACTGACTAAAAACCACCCCGTTCCTTCTCCTGCACGTCGAGCCGGAGCCCCGGTTACCCGTTAGGTTCTCCGCGACAGCAGAACTATGCTTAGGCGCGGTTTAAAATTGAGCAACCTTACGTTCGGGAGTAGGCCTAGTTGAGCGTCTGATTAATTTGTATGAGAGCGATGTTGCACGGCTTTTGCCTAAAACAGACTTTACCATAGAGGTATTAAGGTTGAATTTCATAAATCAAGTGTTTAGAAAGGCCTTGAATAGGTCTCTGTTTGAGTACACATGCTTGGGCGTGTGGTCTTGTGTTAAATATATATGAGACCCATTGTTCAATGCTATATACTAGTTATTATTTACTTGCCAGGCACAAATAGGGGTCTTCACATTTCTACATTTCTTTTTAGTGTACATCTGTGGGTTTTTTATATTAAAGAAATGGAGGAACTATTTGCTCTATATAAGTACGTTACAGTCATTTAATTCAACCGGTTATTCTGTTATAAAACTTTTAGAAAGAAAGAAAGAGAAAGAAAATTTATTTATTTATTTGTTTAGGGGACAAGATAATAGGGTAGTTTCTTAAATTTTATTTTAATGTCCGTCGGGTAGATTAATTAAAACATTACAAACATATTTTTCTTTTCTCAGAAAATTAAAATATATATTTTTTCATTACCTAACTGATGGACTAATTCGATTTTAATATTTATACCCGGGCAACTATCCCATTATGATGTTCCTTAATATCGGAAAGGTCTAAGACCTAGTTAAGTGGTTCCTCGTTGGTTTTTACAACTCAATAAAAATAAAACTATAAAAAAGTTATACATACGCAGAGAATTTACATTCGTGCTAATTATTTACTATTTTTACATTGTAAGACAAATAGGAAGATAGTTTCTATTTTTACATTACTTTTAATGATGTATTTTGAATCAAGTTTCAACAATTTATTCTCCATTCAAATTAATACTATTAGCTTGAAACTCAATTTACAAATGACATTGCAAACTACTTTTATATTACGACTATGTCTAAATTATAAAGTAAACCCAATGAGACGGGACAGTTAAAGTTCAATTTTGATTGACACATTCTACCAGTCTACACCTTGGAACTTTGATGTTAATAAGTAAGATAATTAACGCCTCCTTACTGTCTGGTCTCATTGTTTTACTACACAAACATACATATATACTTACCACAGATTGACTATAGGTTACGTTTTGAATTGTACGGAACCTTATAATCAAAGAAATGGGCGAATACGACATTATTTAAAGTGTATTCTCACAACCATCCTTTTTAGACATCATCCTATATGTATAGTTTAATTTTACACGATACACCGATACGGCGAAACACTATTCTTCACCAGCACCAAAGTCCCGACGGGCTAGTCGATTATTTTAGTCGATTTTTAACACAGACACAACACTGATACTTTTTAAAACAAGATATGAAATAATATAATTATAATCCGTAGAAAAACAAAATGAAAGATAATAGAAGTTAAGAAATACAGAGTAAAGTACGGAACACAAAAGTAATTGTTTTATCTATTGTATTTTGATAGAGGAAGTAACAATTTGGAAAAAATACTATTAGCGCCTGTTTCACCATCTTTATATACGTCTCCGGTAAACCTATGTGGCACATAGTTGATACAAATTTCGTTCCATGTTCAAAATCTGGTACATCACAGCTATCCAGACATTTGAAACAGGCATCTAATGTTAAAATACTAAAACGCCACTTTCCTTCACCACATAACAGAGATAGCGCCATATTGAAATATTACTTAAAATTACGCAGCATTTCAGTATTCAGGTCTATAAAAATAGAATTTTAACCAAACGTAAAGACTTTATCAAACGACTAAGTTTTACGTAGAAAACGGTCTAAAAAATCGACGTACGTAATGTCCGAGCCCGCGTCTTTGCCTTCGAGCTCTGTCTCTTCTCAACCGCTATAGGAACATGGAATTCCTGGTCGAGTTTGGAGAAAAGCTCTGTTCAGGTAACATGCTTGCGTCGCCGTATACTGGGGCAGTGGGTCCACTGGACGCGTACGGACTGCGGGACCATGTCCGCGATCTATTTTGGATGGGTGTCACTTCAGGTGGGAGTACGGTCTCGTTTGGATCTGTTGGCATCCGGATTGGTGCTTTTCTTTGCATTCTTTGTTGTACTGTGAAGAGAATTTATTGTATTAGGTGTGTATTGGATTTTGTCATGATTATTATTTTGTGATAAAGATTATAAGCTGCTATATTTAGATTATTATTACTAAATTATAATAAACTTAAAAGAGGTAACTATTTGCACTGAAATGTAAAATTATGTTATACATTATCAATACATAGTATAAAACAAAGTCGCTTTCGCTGTATGTCTCTATGTATGCTTAGATCTTTAAAACTACGCAACATGTTAGGGTCGGCACGACTACCTTTTTTAGGCACAGGCTGTACGTTGGCCAGCTTCCATGCAACCGGTACTAGACCCGTCTCCAAGGAAAGGCGAAACAGACGTGTCAAGATTGGAGACAACTCAGGCGCACAGGTTTTTAAAACCAGGGCTGGGATTCCGTCGGGACCACTGGCCTTGTTCACGTCCAGATCGCGTAGCGTCCTATATACCTCCCTCTGTCGAATGCGAATTTGCGACATATTCGTCTTGCATACGCTATTAACAGAAGGAGGCAAGGCGCCACCAGTGTCAAGACGCGAAGACTCCGCAAATAGAGAAGCAAATAGATTCGCTTTCTCTACCGCAGTGTGAGCCAGCGTTCCGTCAGACCTCAGGAGCGGAGGAAGTGAGGAGCGACAGAAGTTCGATTCAACCGCCTTGGCCAGGGACCAAAAGGCTTTACGTACTACTACTACGATGGCCGAGTGGTCGCAAGTGCGACTGCCGGGCAAGGGGTCTCGGGTTCGATTCCCGGGTCGGGCAAAGTATTACTGGGTTTTTAAAAAAAAATCTCAGTAGTAGCACGGAGTCTGGAAACCGGTATATGGCAAAAGGCTCACCCCCTCATGGGACTCATAACATACATAGTGAAAAGTGGGTGTTACTTCTGTGTGCACCTCTGCCTAACCCTACGGGGATTTTTAGTCAGTAAGAGTCTGACACTCCCTCCCGCCTCGCCCAGGCGGGAGCAGCCATTCGATGATTTCCCCCCCCCCTAAAAACCCCTTCAGGAATAAAAGCCGTGATGTTATGTTATGTAGATTAGACCATAGTTCAAAATGTAATAATTTAGCAGTACCAAAATAAAAATATTGCATCTAATGAGTAGTATATGTGAACGAGTCACTACAGGGTTTATTTTTAAATCATTTTCTAAATGAGGCATCGAAAGTATAGGTTTAATAAGCGGTTGCTTTGGTGACGACATGTAAGTTGTACGATACATAAGGGCAGTGTGTTTGCGAACGGCCCGACCCACTAAACCTGCCAAGCTGCTTGACGTGTGGTGACTATGACTTGGACGATATCAAATACTTACACCAGGATAGATGTTACATCACTTCTGTAGGTCCTTGAATTGGTGTGAAGTGTACTAAATTTAACTCCTCTTTGGTAGATAAACTTCGTGTCTTGGTCTGCTTGTAATTACAATTACTTCGTGTCCCATTATTTAATAACAAGATTTTTCTTTCTATATTTCCTAGGACATGCTTACTCTTTTTTCTGGATAAGAATTTACACTAACATGAGCAAATTAATGCAGTAAAGTATTGACAGACAAATATATTTTTATTGAATGACCGCTTCAATATGCTTTTTCGATATTGTTGCCATAATACCTTGACTTTTGAATTTATAGGGTTTCAGCAATCTGATAATCATATGATTACTTAAAGGGAACTTTTAGAGTAATTACTTATTAATCGTACTAGAAGTTAGTGGCATTTTTCTTCGTCCATCTTTCTTGTCCTCGGTTTCTTTTGTCACCATCTTTTGTACAATTCATTAATCTTATTTCTCTTGGATCTCCCTTCTGTCCTTTGTCACTTTATCTCTTAGCTACTACTTTATGTATAGGACATATTAGACACAAAACTCAATAGAAAATGCATAGTAGTTTGAACTTCACAGGACTAAAAAGCTTTGGAGGATAATATCACTTTACTAACCTGATATTATTTTCGGGTATTAATTTGTTTTTCGGAACCATTATTGTTTTGCCATTATTTTCTTATTAAAGTAAGTACTTTTGCGGTGCCCAAAGGGCCTATAGTTGGAACATATTTTGTCAAAAATTGTAAACCACCCTGTACACACTATAGATGCATTAAAATGATTTGAATTTGAATTTGATTATGTAGTCAGGTGATCTCGTGATGATCTCACATAACATATCCTATCAGTTTATATTGTAGAGTGATTTAGTCATCTTGTCTGATCGGCTTAAATGTTAGACTATGGTATTTCATGAGTGAGTCATTGCAGAGCTTTTTATTTAGATTAAATAGAATTTTCTTTGGTGACACATTGTTTCCATTTTTGTAATTTGGTAAGAAACAAGATTATAAAAAAAACAATAATTAGAACATAGTACCTCCTTATTTTATTTAAGTCGGTAAAAATATTTTTTTATTCAAATAGACAGCTATATGATCTTCCTCCAATTCATGGAGTGTATTTCGAATATATGGTTCTGAAAATATTTTTTCATCAAGTTTTTACCTTAAATTGTTACTTCAGCAACCAATTTTCAATTTACCGTGACTATAGTTAAAGCGTTTCCGATTTTCTAAAGCTAATGAGTAGGTATTGTTATGGTTTTTTCCAGTATCCATAATAACATGTACACCCTACAATGAAACAAGTGCAGGCGGTTCGCCTTGCACGGACGTTTCACTGCGTGCACACACACAGCGCGCGCGCACACACACACACACACAGCTGGCATGCGCACACGCGGCCACATTTGCAACTTATGTCCGATTGATATTGATTTCTCTCTATAATCAATATTGGATATTTCTATATTTATGACAAGTTATTATAATCATTAGCATAATTACATTTTCATTAATTTTAAGCTTAAGTTATGTAGTTAGGTGAAAATGTCGACCACGTGTTCTCACTATGATGTTTACTTCACGCTAGTGATTCTCTTCACGAATTGTGGTATTATGTTGAATCACTACATAGTATAAAACAAAGTCGCTATCCGCCGTCTGCCTGCCCTTATGTATGCTTAGATCTTTAAAACTACGCAACGGATTTTGATGCGGTTTTTTTTAATAGATAGAGTGATTCTTAAGGAAGGTTTATTTGTATAATACATGCATATTGCACCCGTGCGAAGCCGGGGCGGGTCGCTAGTCTATTTATAAAGTTGGGAGGTGTATGGTGGCTACCATAACATAAATAATGTAACACAAAAGATGTAGTGCAGTGTCAGACTGCGCCAGACAATCCACAAACAGGGAGAGATGGCGGGAGATCGTGAGGAAAGCTGCATCGGCTTCCGACCACTTAAATAACTGAGAAAAGCTCTACTAGTTTCATGTTCCATTAGTTTTACAAAGACATTCTCTATCGTTAAAAGTCCATCATCAATTATGTCAGAGACAAATATTTATTGGTGTTCCACAAATTTTACTTTCGATTTGAAAGAAATAGATTTTTTTTTAATAAAAACTTTGCCCCTCTCTGGGATTATCTCCTGTGTCGTGGGTGTGTTTACAAACATACAAGTCCACATACACATGACACCCACACCCGGAACAACAATTTGTGGATCACACAAAGTTGTTCCGTGCGGGCATCGAACCCGCGACACGTTGCGCGGCAGCCGGTTAGCGGCCCAGCTACCACACCAACCGTGTTGTCAAATGTTTCCGTGTTACGAAGATGCAATAGTAACATAACATGACAACCACGCCTTTTATCCCCGAAGGGGTAGGCAGAGGTGCACATTATGCCACTGTACAATGTCACACCCACTTTCACTATTTATGTTATGAGTCCCATGTAATAGGGGGTGAGCTTATTGCCATATACCGGGCATATTTCCAGACTCCGTGCTACAACTGAGATTTTTTAAAAACCCAGTAATACTTTGCTCTCGACCCGGGAATCGAACTTGAGACCCCTTGCCCAGCAATCGCACTTGCGACCACTCGGTGAATAAGGTAGTCATTCAGTCAGTTGATGCAATAGTATCAACAAAAAATCCAACTAACCATACAGATAACCGGCGGCGGCCGCAGCGACAGTGACGATGGTGGACATGTAGGGCTTCAACAAGGAGAACAACGCGCCCAGTAGCGTGCCGCACGCCACGTCACACTCGCGCTGCACGTCCACCCGCAGCTCCTGGGACGTCCGCTTGGACCGCACCGTCACCCAGCCGTAACCACACGTCGACGCTTCGTTTGTTACTGTCACTAGTAAATCGCCTGAAAAAAATATTATAGTATGTTGTAACTAGCAGTGCTGGTAAGTAAAATAAAGTTCAGTCAAATTTATTTACTCCCCCCCCGTTCCTAATTCCTAAAGGGCCGGTAACGCACTTGTAACGCCTCTGGTGTTTCAGATGTCCATGGGTGGCGCCGGTTGCTTAACATCAGGTGGTCAAACTGTTCGTTTATCAGCTTATCCCATAAAACGATGTATGTATGTACGTTTGTGCGCGATTATCCCGCTATTGGCTAAACCGATTTTAATGTAGTTTTCAGGGAAGTGTTTATTACAGTTAGGAGGTTTTAATATATTAATTAACCGACTTCAAAAAAGAGTGGGTTGAAGTTGGTTTTTTTAAAGATAGTTTATAAAAGAATTATTACAAAAAAAAAACAATCAAAAACCATGAGATCTTTTGATCTCTTGGTATTTTTTTGTTTTTACAAAAAATAATTCATTACATCTAGTCTATAATGCACGTAAAATTGGATAGATATTCAGTTTTCAGCTGAAAAACCTTAATTAACAAATTGTACATTACGCAAAAATGTCTCAAAAACCACTCACCATTATCCATCCTCGTTTCTATCTTCAGACCGGGCGAAGGCGTCAACCTGACTAACTTCAGGGCGTGCGAATGACCCATCACGGTGAACGTAGCCGGTGGGTTGAGCAGAGATACTTTGTTAGTGGATACTCGTACTTGAGGTAACAGTAATGTTTTTGTGCAAGTCCTATATGTTCCCCATTCAGCACATAATTCGACTTCTGAAGCATCTGTCACTGTTGCTGCTGGGATTATCTTGCAGCCCATTTGTCCTGGAAAATTATGAAATTTATTATTTAATTTGAATTTGAGTTAGCGTGTCCGTGGCATTTAACTTTCCTTAATCAAAACTAAATTATTTCGACTGTTCAGTACAATGAAATACTAAAAAATAATCACACATTTCATTAATTGATTTTATGACCAACTTCATTTCAGTATTTTTCCAGCATTTTTTAAAGAAATAGGTATGGTGTTTGACACTAAAAACCCGTAACGTCACAATACACAATCGCGTACAAAAATTGTAGAAAACTGTCGTTATTGACATTTCGAAAAATGTATTGAATTGTTTGATTGTGTGAGAACAATGCAACACCTAAATCTAGTCAAAGAGATTGAAAACGAAAATTACCTTGAGGATAATAAAATCATAGTCTGGAGCTTTCTACGAACATCAAATATAGTTATAGAAATTATAATAAATTAACCTCACCATTAATAACATCAATAACAGGCTCAGCAGTATGCGGTGCCTTAGTCCGACAGGTGTAAGGTAACTCTATGGGAGTGCCCTCCAGAGCATATCTCTGCTCCTCAGTACACAGGAGCGGGCCCGATGATAGACCTGATGCCGTGAACGAGAGTGGAACTAGTTCTGATGCCCATTCGCCGGGGAGGAACTCCATCTGGATGAAAAAGGGGGGATTTATTAGTGATTGTTTGGTGTTTAAAGATCTTATAGGATAGTATGGGTAAAGGATGCAGTTACTGTTAATATTATTATAGCAAAAAGATAAACAAAGTACAGGACAATAGTTATCACTTACAGAAAAATGTAACCAGACAAATTATTACAAGAAACAACCAAAGCATTGTGTTTCGCCTTGTAAGAAAGGGTACAAGAGGCCTAATCCTGCCCACCAGGTTGGTAACGCATTTGTAACTCTTTAGCTATTGCGGCCATCTCCATGTGCAGCGTTGATTACGTCCCATCAACAGATCCGTCGATTCATTTATTTGGGTATCCCACACAATAAGAGAGTAGTATACCTTATCGAGCTGCAGCTGGTGCAGCGTGAAGACGTGTTGCGGGCGGTCCCGGCGCAGCACGTGCGTGGCGGGCCCGGGCCGCGCCAGCAGCGCCAGCGACACCGCGCCGCCCACGTACAGCGCCACGCCGCCCGGCGCGCGCCAGCCCGCGCCCTCCACGCACACGCCCCAACTGCCCGTCGCTGGAATAATATCTCATTTAACGAGGGAGTTCGTTGTACTATTGAGACAATTGTGTAGCTTAAGGTCAGTAGCAACTAGGAGATTCAAAGTTAAAATGAACAGATGGCGTCTCACGTCTCATATCGCGCAAATAAAGAAAACCAGATAACACGGATAGAAAATCCCCACATGTAGGTTAGGCAATACCCCACCAGGCCTAACCATGTCGCCTGGTCGGGGGATCATTGCTTTTCCTCAGGGAACACCCTAATCGGCAAACATAAACAAAGATGTCTATATCTTAATACTTTTTTTGGTGGAGGAAAAATCATCTAACGACTCCTCCGCCTTAGGTTAGGCGTAAGAGACACTCTTACTGAATAAATACTACTCCGTTCCTACTCCTGCTCATAACCAGAGCCCCGGCAACCTGTTAGGTTATCCACAGTTACCTACCATTTGGAAATACACTCGCAAGTTATAAAAGCGAAATAAAATCTATTGGCTATGTGCAAAGCGAGTAGTGGCGGACAGATAACGACCGCAGCGCACAACACGGCACAAATTGGAAACGAATGCGGGTGATGCAGACCCGGTTTTTATCATTATAGTCATTTTACAGTAAAACTATTGAATAAATTGCACTTAAATAATGTCAACAATACTATTTTGATCTTAGGTCTTATTTATATTTGCAAAAAAAAATGATAATGTTTACATTGTTATTATTTGAGGGCTATGTGCGCAACGGTGGCGACACGCGACACGCAGAGATAACACACTTCCTGTCGTATTTATAGTACAATAATAAGTTGTAATATTAAAAAACTTACCAACGACCCTATCAGCCTTCACGTCAGTCCCGGTAACCAAAACTTCATCCTTTACAGTAACACCGCTCACAGTCCCTTGGAATGTCATGAACGCGCCTGTCACATCTAAATCTGGTATCACCAGCTCTGTACCAAGGACGCTGGGGATGAAAAGGATAATATTAAAACCGTCATAATTATTATTATGTTATGTTTTTATAATAACTATCGTGAGACATACTAAATTAAGTAAAAACGCGGGTTACTCACGTGAATATACTGAGATGCGGATGCCAAGGCCCGACCCTCAAACCACTCCATGTAGATGTTTGGCATCCGCCCCGGTACGACCGCGACATTGGTGGAGGTATGTTGATGACGTGTTCGCGATCGTCAACCGGGAACATGTGGCTGAATTTGTGGGACACTTGAACTCAGTGCACGGCAGTATACAATTCACCACTGAAGAAGAGAGAGAAGGGATGTTGCCGTTCTTGGATGTCCTCGTAAGACGAGAAGAAAATGGTCGATTGTCACACACAGTGTATCGTAAACCGACACACACGGACCGGTACTTGCGAGCTGACTCACACCATCATCCCTCCCATCTAGCCGCTGTTCCCCGGACCTTGATAAACCGGGCGCTGAGTCTATGCGATCCCCAGTATATTGACGACGAATTTCACCACTTAAAACGGGTACTGGAAAACAATGGATACAACTGGCGTCAATGTACTCGACTTGCGAGCAGCTCGAGTAGGAAGCGACCGGCAGTTGCGGAACGGACTCCAGCGTTCTTACCATACGTGAAAGGAGTAACCGACAGAATCGGACACCTGCTTCGCCGTAAATACTGCATCAGGACGATCTTCCGCCCACCCGGTCAGCTAAGACAACTACTACGCTCACCTAAAGATAAGGATCCACTGGCTGTACCCGGAGTGTACATAATACCGTGCGACTGTGGCTCGAGTTACATCGGGGAAACTCGTCGCAACATCACAACCAGGCTAAAGGAACATATACGCAGCGTGAAGAAGATGGACATCCAGGCATCGGCAGTGGCTGAACATGTTTGTGGTACGGACGCGGCTCACTTCATACGTTTTGATAAGGTCTCCGTACTAGCGAGAGAAAAATACTTCGTTCCGCGAAAAGTGCGAGAGGCCATCGAGATCAGCCGACGACCGTGCTTCAACAGGGATGGTGGCTGGGCACTGCCACCCGCGTGGAAGCCGAGCTTGGAGTCTTCGTCGATCCACAGCGTCTCCAGTCTGGAGTGTGACACAGTAAGCGTTATATGCAACACTGACTTTGTGCCGAACCCGGAATCGAACCCACGACCCGCGCCGCTGGTGAACGTACCGTGCGCTTTAGCTTCGTCCAACGCGCTGCCGGAGTTGGAAGCAAACGCTCGTAGTGTCCGACAGAGGGCGCGTTGGGCTCGCAGCGCAGGTGGCAACACCGAGGCGAGCGCCAACGCCAGCCAGTGAGCTGCGCGACGTCGCCGCGACCGCGCACGCTGCTCATGAGGAAGAACCCCTCTGTGGTTCGAAACTAGTAGAGCTTTTCTCAGTATATTCACGTGAGTAACCCGCGTTTTTACTTAATTATTTTTATGTTTTTCTAAAGAACTTACTAATGATTTTCATATTTGTTTGATACATTATATGGCTTGTACTGCCAACAGAAAACTGCGGAAGGAAAATACTCCGCTAACGTTAACAGCGATGGTTTAAAAGCACTTTGCTCGTGTAAAAATCAATAAAAAGGAAGGTTCATCCTTTAGGAGCACTCATTTACATTTCATTTTAAATAAGATTTTAATCATAGGTAAATTTTGTGAAAATAGAATATAAAGTTATATCCATGTGGATAAAAACCTCTTACTTAATAAAGGTAAAAAAACATAGTTTTAGCGATTACCTAACAAGAAACCGTCCTATTTTATTATTTGTTTATTAACTTTTAACGCACACAAAAATAAAGTACATACGGCGAACTTAATGCCATATGTCATTTTATTTATCTCATTAAAATAAATATATCGTACCCTATAGCATTATAGATTATTAATCTTTACGACTTTATACCATTAATTATTATACCATTAACTAGCATATTCACCTGTCCGTATGTCTAGCCGGCCGGTTATGTACGATCAGCGGGCCGGTGGCGCTGACGTTGGCGTGTGGAGCGAGCAGGGCGCGGCCGAGTGGCGAGCGCAGCACCAGGCGCAGCGCCGCCTCGGGGGACTCGCCGGACGACTCCAGGGTACAGTACCACGGGACTGACACTTCTACTTGGATGGCCTGGAGGAATAATAAGTTGAAGAAAAACAACAAAGTGGAAAGTTTCTTATTTGTCAGGAACAGCCAAAAGGCGTCCACTACTGAACAATATCCTCCTTGCAAGGGACTTGGAAAGGGCGGTTCGAAAATTGCACTTGGGTTGAATACGGTAGTTGTCAGGTAGTCAAATTCAATACAGTTGTTGAAATGTCAAAAAAGATACCTTTCTATGAATTTTGTATTGGATCGCAACTTTGACGTCATCATATTTCTGCGTCAAATAGCATACTTATTTTCTCAAAATTAGCAAGAAAAAATCCAAAAGATGGTAAATTGTCAAATCAATGGATAAGAGTATGATTATTTTTTAGTTATATATTGCATTGAAAAGTTTAAACAATTTATTTTAAACCTAGGAAACTACCCAATTGTCGATTGCAAGAACACCTACTGATAGGAAGTAGTAGTAGTAGTAGTAGTAGTAGTACTTTGTCATCGATAATTCAGCTGATTGCGCATCAAAGTTGCAGATAATAATTTATAATCCTCCATACAGTACACATTTTGTAGGTTGCGCAACTTGCGCAAACTGTCTAGATCTAGTACAACATACACTTATTACTAAAATAAACAGAACTCACCGTCTCCCTAAAGATGTTGTTCCTCTCATCCTTATGCTGTGCTACAATGACTCCATGACCAGGTCTTATAGCAGTTAGTTCACCAGCTGGACTGATAGTTATGGCTCCATCACCATATGCCTTCCAAGTTCCTCTCGGCAAAGACTTCAGTTTGATAACAGAGCTAACGGCTAGTGCAAGTCTGTCTCCTGAGGATATCTCCTTGGAAAGACCTTCCACTGATGTTCTGATGTCGGCAAGACCAAGGATTTCGATTGTACTGTCCCAGGAGCGGGTTTCTGCTGCCTGTAGTGAAAATTGTTAGGTTAGAAGTTATTTGAATGAATATTATAGTGATAAAAGGTTTCTGAATAAATTTGACTGGACTCGATTCTTGAATGGAGCATTATTCTTAGTAAGATAAAGGACACAAGTGCCTCTATTGGCTATGTGCAAAGCGAGTAATGGCGGACAGATAAAGACCGCAGCGCACAACACGGCAGAAATTGGAAACAAATGCGGATGATGCAAACCCGGTTTTTATTATTATATTGATTTTACAGTAAAACTATTGAATAAATTGCACTTAAATAATGTCAACAATACTGTTTTGATCTTTGGTTTTATTTATATTTGCAAAGAAAATTATAATGTTTACATTGTTATTATTTGACATCTTCCGCAAATGTTGTAAACGCTACGCGTCGCCACCGTCGCGGACATAACCAATAATAGAGATATATCTGTCATCACTAAGGCTGCCTTTAATATTAGTTTTGTAAAAAACCTGGAGTTACACCATTTTTACAATAAAAGACACTTTTACCACCTAATATTTTATTGAAAAAAGTTTCTTACCTGTCCCATGTTTCGCACTCGGACATCGATGGCGATGACGCCCGGTTTCAGCGGTACCACTCGCACTGACAAACCTTCAGCTACTGATCTCTCAAGCATGTCTATGGAAATGTATAGTTGTTATAATAATAATATAGAGGTACAATAAGTTAATTGTTGTTTCGTTGCACAACTTGTAATTTTACAGAGGACTTAAATGACAAAAATATTAAATATCTCAACAACACAAAATCTAATTTGCGCAAACGTTTACAAGTGCGCAACCAACTTACACTTGCGCAAAAGTTACGTAACGCACGCAACTTATTGCTGCTTTCATTTTTATGTAGTAAAACAATAAAATTAGATTACATCACAATATCTGGAGTATGTTGACTAAGGACTACACTACACTACAAGGTCTTATGTTCATTGCGCAAATGCCTAACTTAAATAATTTTACTTACCATCAGCATGAGTAGTATACAATCTGGCAGTAGCAGGGTCTCTCAGAGTCCAAGTGACTCTTGGCGGTGGCATGAGGGCAGCCAGGGCTGCGGCACTGAGACCTCCTGCCTCTATCCATAAGGGGCTCGGAGACCCTACCAGTAAGCTCTGTGTAGCTGCCTTTACACGTATTCCTGATATTGGGACCACCTGTAGGAAATGAAATGAAATAATGATAGGTTATTGGAAACTATATAGGACAATTTCATGTGATATTTTTATGCACGCAGCATTTTTGTTAATATAGTAAACATTGCCCCACATTAGGAGTGTCTCCTGTGTCGTGGGTACGTTTAAAAAAATTCACATACACATGACACCCAGACCAGAAACAACAATCTGTGGGTCACACAAAGAGTTGTTCCGTGCGGGAATTGAACGGCAGACGGTTGTCCAGCCACCGCGCCAACCGTGCAGTCAATCTTTAAACTTTGTTGCATTTTACAGCGAACTAAATAGTTTTACGACCTTTAAATTTTTTTATGGAAGACATATAGCTATAAAATCTTACCTCAACCTCAGCTTCAGCGCTTGCCATCTCAACATTATTAAAATCAATAGCCACAAGCTTGATACGAGATGTTCCGATTGACAGACCGTGTACGGAACCGGATGGTGTCACCTGGAAATAAACAATAATATTTACAATCTTTGATTAACACGTTAAACGCTATGGGGGTCACCAGTGACCGACGTTAGACGATTTGCCTTTAACAGTTTTGTTATGGCAGTCAAAGGCTTAATATTGCATTCCCACTTTCATAAACCATTCAAAGTTCATTTTACCGCAAACAAGGTAAAATTTTATTATCTTTTAAATAATTTCAAAATGGGATGCTGTCATGAACATCTTCAAGTTTATAAACACTCCATGTGAATATGTGGTAATACATGGTACATCATAGATTATAAAAAAATAACTCTTTGTAAAATAGTTATAGTGTAGCGAAGCCAATCAAGCCTTTTGATAAATGTAAATTGCAAAATAGGTCTTTTTTTCAATGTTGAACATTAATTTTCCACGGACTCTTGGTCCAGGCTCTTGTCATACAATCAAATTGTATCAAATCTGTATATTCCTTCCATAGCTCAAGTAAGGTTGGGATTTCAGAAGATTTAAAGCATTTAATTGATGTTTTCTTGTAAACAAAACCATCGTTAAGCCACACAGAGTAGATAAAGTGAGTATACCTCGACGTGCTTTGGGCCGTGCGAGAGCGCGTAGTGCAGGCGCGCGAGGTGCGGCGGCGGGCCGCCCGCGTGCCGCAGCTGCAGGCGGGCGGCCGGCGGCACGCGCGCGCGCCGCGGGACCACCGCCAGCGACGGGAACACTTGCACCTGCGGGACACGCGTTCACATCGCTGTAGGTACACGTTCGGAAATGGACAACTTCGGAACCCGCAATACCCGCCCAACCAACCAAATAAAGTAACATGTTATTAATCTTGTTTTACGGTCGATATTTATAATCGATATTAATTCAAAATCTCTGAAAAAATTACAACAATAGCCAGATGACTATTTTTTATTTTAATGTCTGTCTGGTAAAATATTCTTTATTTTTTATTTTCTAACGGAAACAAATACTTTTGACGATAAATTGATTTGAAATATCGCGTGACGTCACTTTTATATACGTTTTATACGTAGAAATGACGTTTTAGCTCCCACTTCTAAGCTTTTATTCGTTTTATCTAAATATTCTTTTACAACAATTCTTACCTCAACTTCAGGGCTCCACACTCCACCAAATAACGCCCTGACTTTACCCATACCCTCTTGGAGACCACATAGAGAGCCATCCTGGATGGAAATATACCCAGAAGTCCTCCACTCAGGTGGTTTCCCAACAGTGAGGTATCGGTGGGAGACTCCCTTCACGAGCGCACTCACGGGCACGCACGCACCTACTACGACCGCGTGAGATGTCGATACTTCCACGCTTAGTACTTCTTCGATGTGAACCTGGAGAAGGAAAATTAAATTCAAAATTGTTCATGCAACATAACCAATGTGGTTTTTATGTCTCAACCAAAATTAAAACTCAAAAGTAGTAAAGTAGTAATTGATAGAGTTCAAATTTCAATGGTAGTGTACCACTTTTGCAAATGTAAATGTTATGTTAGTGTTTGTAAATTTTTTTACCGCACTGTGGTGCACTTTTGCGATAACTCTTTTAAATACATTTTTTTAGGGGTATATTGGTACCACAAGATTAAAAAATGCACCGTTTAATATAAAAACATCATAGCATACATAAAAACTTACCTCTACGAGTTGTTTTTCTCCTTGAACACACAGATCGGTGACTATAAGGTCATACGACCCTGGTCCGGGTACATTAGCCGACAGTGAGCCATCCTCGACCTCTGCTGATACTCCTTTCGGTGCTTCCACGGCGTAACGACCACTGCCGCCAGTTATACTCGCTATGTTGGTTACTATCTCGGATTCCCAGGCTATGTTTACCTGGGAAGAGTAAATTTAACTTTATTACTAAAGTCATAAGGATAAAAATAAGGCAACCCACATGGGTTGCCTTATTTTGCATCATCATTACCTACTTAGTTCATAATAGATTTTTGTCTTTTTCATCAAAACACAGTAAAGATTACCCCTTTAAGCTACCCCAAAATATGTATGAATATCAATATATATATATTTTTAATACAATTAGATTTTGACCAAACACTAATGTCGAAATACTCAAAGGGTACTCAAATTTAAGTCGCGATAAACTATAGTTCTATTATTGCTACAAATTCTTTGTAAAATGACAGAGATGGCACAATATTTAAGTATAACTTGGAATTTAGTAGCCTTTCAGTATTCGGGCGTAAGGTTCATAATTTACTAAATAATTGTGACAGACTCTAGTCTGTAAGTACTCTAGTACTTATACAAAAAGGAAGAATATAGATAGTGGTTATCATTAAATCAAATGACCAATCCCCAAGTGGTTACCGGTGAGCGTTCTCCACTAACTCCATTATAGACCTTATTTCCGATGTTCAGAGACTACTTTTGTGTGAACTTTTGGAATTTATATCAAGTGATTACGATTTGAAAATTTAACATAAGTAAATTTCTTTACTTTCTTAAAAAATGTGATGAAATGTAAGGTGTATTTTACCTTGAGTGGATCACATTTCAACGGCGCTACAACCCTCGCTTGTATGGAGGCAGTCGCTTCAGGAATGCTTGCCTTCAACGCACCCGTCCAGCCGATAGCCGTGTTATCAGCTAACACTACCTGTTCACAAATAATAATAATAATAATAATAATAAGTTTATTTCAGACTTTAGATGATATGTCCATAGGTTTGTTAGTAATGGTGTGTTAGTAACAAAGAGTGCTTAAATAGTTAAGTTAGTATTGTTAGTTATTACTATCTTATATTTGTATTATTAATGACTGTGGCCACCCAGTGTCTCTGCAAGGGACAGTCCGGTCTGGCAGCAATCATCTTCAAAATGCTGTTGCCACTACCATGCAGGTGCCGCAGTAGGGAGGCCGCTTTCTTACGCATGATGGCGTGGAAATCATCTGTGCGAGCCTCTGCGAACATTCCCGACGCGCTACAGCGCCATGGCAGTCCCAACAGCATCCTGAAGGCATTATTGAATTGGACACGCAGGGCACCGTAAGCTCGCCGCGTGTATGACACCCACAGGCCGCTCGTGTAAAACGATTGACAGAACGCCTTGAAAAGGGTTACTTTGACGGTATTAGTACAACGAGCGAACCTGCGGACTAGCATATTGCTTCTCACAGACAATGCCCTGCGCTCCCTCTCAATATCTCACACAGTATGAATTAATTCAATAAGTTGTTTTTTTAAATATGTTACCGGGACCCAAGAATTTTCTCCTGTGTCGTGGGTGCGTTTACAAACATACAAGTTCACATACACATGACACCCACACCCGGAACAACAATTTGTGGATCACACAAAGAGTTATTCCGTACGAGGATCGAAACGTTGCGCGGCAGCCGGTTGCCCAGCCACCGCGACAACCGTGCAGTCAAAAACAAAAATAAGAAAATATTTAAAGAAATAATGTTCAATTAATGCCATGGTTATATCAGGGACCGGATTATATACATTTGTAAATTTGCCATTCTCAGAAGTGCAAGCATAAAACAAGATTCCTATGTTGTATATACAACTATCCAGTTTCTAGTTATAACTGTCCTACGAATATGAATCGAAAATTAAGCCAAATTATATCTGTGTGTCAAGAAGGAGTCTTCACTCCCCAAACAAAAATAATGTAAACTGTATAAAATTAAATTAATATAATATCACCTAATAAGCACTGCTCAGGCATGGCATTTTTGCTTTGGAAACAATACAAAAAGGTTGAAAGCGCGCCGACAACTCTTTTATATTGACGTTATCAAATATGTGATAGAACATACGATATAACCTTCAAGTACTGACGTGGATTACTCATACCATAAATGGGTACGTGACGTATGTCAAACACAATATTTACCTGTATTATGTTCGGTCCATTATTATTCTATTAAGGAGGTGCAAAAATAATCAACATTTTCGAATGAAATCAGTGGGTTTTAGTTCAAATTCATTAAACTATATTTTGCATAACTTAAAAAATTATGTTATAATCTTAGCTAAAATACAATTATTTAGATTTTTTGGAAAATGTGTCACGCCGTCTATGAGACACCCACGTCAGTAGTTAAAGGTGTGGGAGCCGTGCTTCTTAGACGTGCGATAACTTGAATTCCTTACATACGTTTTTATTGACTCCATAATCATGTAATGGTACTTACTTGATAATACTTATACGGCACGGGTACAGGAGCGTAGTCAGGGTGTGTTTCAACAAACAACCTGTCAGTAGCTTGGAACTGTAAGCCGGGGTGATAAGGTTCAATATCCCAGGACATCTTAGGACCGTTCTCGTCGAGAAGCTCACGGCCTATCGCATCCAGGAGCGTTACTTTTACTGATAATTCTTGGCCTGGACGTAGCCATATTCTGTAAGTAAGCATGTCGATAATATAAATGAATTTGCTTTATACATACCTCAAATATGTGGAGTTTGTATTTTGATTTCATAATTTTATTAAAAAAACGCGGTAATAAGCAATATTTGGTCTTCAATATGATCGTTGCCCTCAGTCGGAAAACGAATTTGCTAATGTCTTTCGACTCATCAGAACTCATCGTCCTTAGGGAGAGGATAGTCCATAAGGTCATAATTAGATAATTAAAAATTGGGTGGCTGGTAGGCAATTTAAAACATACCACAGTAGACTACGATTGGGTACTTGCCTATTGCCAACTAATCAAATTGAATACTTTTTTTCAACTGTCAAAAACGATAGTTTTCTATGAATTTTGTACGAGGTTGTGTATTATTTTTTTTAAATTACTGGAAATATAGTAAAATTAAGTTGGTCATAAAATCAATTAATGAAAGTGTGATTATTTTTTAATATTTTATTGTATTGAACAGTCGAAATAATTTATTTTTGATTAAGGAAACTATCCAATTGTAGCAGCAAGAGGCGAAAGACTGGCACAGGGTGTACTTTTTAGTAGATTACGCATAAGTCATTAATTTTTTTCTATTTTTCTGATAACTACTAGAAGTTTATCGATCACCTGGAGCCATTTGATCGTCGATTTCAGAGACACCATGTATAAGATATAAGATCAAAGTACAACTAAGCCGAATGATATAATACATACTTGTGTGCATTAGAGCAGTTCCCGGGAGTGTCGGGCGGCTCCAGTCGCAGGCGCGCCACGTGCGGGGCGCAGCCTCCCTCCAGGGACACTGACTCGCGCTCCTCGCCCGCCGTCGACACTAGCTCCACTAGAGACTCGCCTTTCTGTGGAGTATAATATGAACATTTTTATGTTTGCAAAAGGGGTTTTTTTAAGGGAGGAAAATCATCGAATGACTGCTCCCGCCTGGGTGAGGCGGGAGAGTGTCAGACTCTTACTGACTAAAAACCACCCTGTTCCTTCTCCTGCGCTTCGAGTCGGAGCCCCGGTAACCCGTTAGGTTCTCCGCGACTCCGAATCGGCATCGGCCCTGTTGGGTTGTTTGCAAAAGGGTGAGGCATAAATTTATTACTTACTAGCTTGTGGCCGCGACTTCGTACGCGTTTTTTCCCGTTCCCGTTCGTGATTTTCGGTAAAAAGTAAATATAAAATAAAGGATTTGGACAAAAAGTATCATATGTCCGCTACCTGGTTCTAAGTTACCTCTCTACCGATATTCAGTCAAATCGATTTAGCCGTTCTTGAGTTATAAATAGTGTAACTAACACGACTCTCTTTTATAGATATAGATTTATCTATAGGGAATGTTCCTTTTGCATATGGCAATTGCAATGGGTCGATGGTTGTTGTTGAAGTGTGTCAGTGGGTAAAAACGAGGCGCGCAAAAGTTGATCTTAAACGTTACATTTACTTTTTACAAGCTGTGTTATCTACTATACTATTAACAATATTATTAGTCTAGACGTAACTAGTATTACAATAATTAAAATAAGAGTACTTACCCTCCGACACTTGAAGGTGAACAGTTGTACGTCAGGGTACCGGTGTGGCGGCGGACCGTCCCGGACTGATATGTCAGCCACCCGGGAGTCCAGGGACTGGGGGACTAAGGCTTCACCCTCGGCTAGCACCTATGTGGGGAAGGTCAATTTTTTATATGAATATAAACGCTTTATAATGAGTTTGTTTTGGAATTTTGAAACAATACTAGTAATAGGGGATTTTTTTACTGCACCTCTATTTAGAAATGACAATGCCAGATCCTGACCCAGTCATAATATCATTGATATCAAAAAAAGTAAATTGATGAAAATAATTTTGACGAATAAGGAACCTTTTCACAAAAGTAGTAGTATAATTGATTTGTTTGATGAGCAAATTTAGTGTGCAATTCAGTATATTTGGTGGTAATTTCGAATATTTTAATTGAAAAAAGGGAATTTACAGTTAAAGTATTAAATACCATCCCTAGTAATATATTTAATTAACATTGAATATAGCATAATTGTAAATTAAAATAGTATAATCTAATGATCGAAAAAAGGAACAGTTTTTAAGGTACAGAAACTGTTACATAAGGTCTAGTCGGCTTTATATATTTTTATGCAAATAGGTTTGACACATCTTGTTGAATATCTGTAAGATCGCCATACAAAGTGTAAGTCTTTAGGTGACAGAAAATGCGTAACGAGTGACTGTAATTCGTAAGAAAATATAAAACAGCAGCTGTAGCCAAATGCTACAGCACTTGTCTACATGTAGAATAGAACACCAAATTATATGGAATCGACAAAAATTTGACAATTACCAGTGTCATTCCCATACATTTAGATTTCTACTCTCTCTGTAGACAAGCGTTAAAGCGTTTGGCTAAAGGCACAGAGCCTTTAGCCAAACGCCACCTTAGCGCTTGTCTACAGAGAGAGTAGAAATCAAAATGTATGGGGATGACACTGACAAGTGTCAAAATTTACGTCAATTCCATATAATTTGGATTTCTATTCTACATGTAGACAAGCGCTAAATGGCATTTGACAGCTGCTTGGTCCAGAACACTTATGACAAGTCAGCGAAGGTCTATAAAGCGCGTTACTTTTATAAATCGGATACAATCTAAAGGAGCCCTGAGTAATAGTCTATGGTCGTACTCACAGGCAGCGCGGCGCCGGGCAGCGCGGCGGCGTGCGCGGGCCACAGCAGGCGCGGCGCGGCGCGCACGGCCACGCGCGCACTGTCGCCCGCGCGCCCGCGGGACACCCGCACCGTCGACACGCCGCGCGACCCCCACGCGCACTGCACCACGCAACATGCGCCGTCTGGACAACACGACTCCATGGAATAACTGTTCGTATGTTACGCGTAGCTATCAACTTATCAAATTCATTTATGTTTATCGATTTTTTTAAGAGGTGAAAATCATCGAATATCTGCGTATATATATATCTCGTATCGATATAGTGTCAAACTCTTATTGACTAAAAACCACCCCGTTCCTTCTCCTGCACATCGAGCCGGAGCCCCGGTAACCCGTTAGGTTCTCCAACGAGTAGAGGTACTTCACCCAGTTTAAAGCCAGTTGCCATTAAAAAATACGAATAATGGTCAACGGATTATTTAAACAGATTCCGTATCCATTTAAGTTCGTAAAACTTAAAGATGAATGTGAAGATGTGAATAGTATAATAAGCCTACTATAGCTATTCTATTCTCAAGAATGTATATTTCTAATATTAACAAGTAATATGTATTATGTACTAACCAGCAGGTTGCATCCAACTAGCGACGGTAACATTTTGTGGTTCAGGTCCCTCCAGTAGAGTAACAGCGAAAGAACCACAATTGCAACTAAAACAAAACGAACAAATAGGTTACATATTTGTTAGTCTTTTTACAAAAAATCTCGTGGCCACTTTTAAATGAATGTAGATATAGAATTTTGACACATTCACATTTTGTAAACTGACTGTAAGAAAATCGAATAGATAATAAATAACAATAATAAACAAATAAGCAATACTTAAAAAGTAGTAATATTTTTACCCGACTGCCAAAGAAGGAGGGTAATGTTTTTCGAGTGTATGTAAGTATGTATGTATGTCTTTTCCTTTGTGAACACCTGTAGCCTAAACGGCTTGATGGATTTTGATGTATGAGGTATCGTTAGATTTGTCTTGATTACGGGAGTGTCATAGGATACATTTTATCCTAAAAGTCCCACGGGATAAAGACATAATAATATTTTTTCTAAATTTCCCTTTAAAAAAATATGTATGCGGTATCATTAGATTCATTTCAATCACGGGAGTAATTAATATAGGATACGTTTTTTCTCAAAATTCCCACGGGAACATGTTAATTCTGCGTCAACGCAAAGCAACTCATGCGTTAGCAAGCAAAAAGATAGGGCGTGGCCTGGCATGCGGCGCGCGGCGCGGTGCGGAGGGGGATATGCTCGAGTATACAGCCCGATTGCGGGCACACGCATGAGGGCACACGTCGTTGACGGTCGTCTCTAAATAGCGATTTTATTCGATATATCCCTATTTGTATATATCGAAATAAAAACAGCTAAAAAGTTATAAATAAAAAAATTATTATTAAAAAAACAAAATACCCGACTGCACACTAAAAAAAGAGTAAAACAAGCCCCACAATAATATTGATCAATCAAATGCTAAAAACTAATTATGTAATACCGTTTAAACAATACCTATATTAAAATACACTACAATATGTGTTCGTAATCGATAGTTAAATAAACAGAAACTTATTTTGAATACAAATTTACTGAATATAATTTATAAATGTTGATGGAATGCATCGCAGGCGGGGACCAACAGAGGCTTATTTATAGTCATTTCGGTTGTGCACCATTTAGCAGAATTTTCGTTGGTGGCGGTCAAGGTGGTCCCCGCCTGCGATGCTTTCCATCAACATTTATAAATTATATTCAGTAAATTTGTATTCAAAATAAGTTTCTGTTTATTTAACTATCGATTACGAACACATATTGTAGTGTATTTTAATATAGGTATTGTTTAAACGGTATTACATAATTAGTTTTTAGCATTTGATTGATCAATATTATTGTGGGGCTTGTTTTACTCTTTTTTTAGTGTGCAGTCGGGTATTTTGTTTTTTTAATAATATTTTTTTTATTTATGGCACAAGCCTGCCACAGCCTCCCAACACCGCTGCAACTCCTGAAAGCCAGGACCTACAGTAGATATAACCATGAAAACACCGGAACACTGAAGTACGGCGCGTCCCAGGGACATGAACAACTGTCTTGATCCCCAAAACGAAATAAATCAGATTATAAGAGGAGGAAAAAAATGTATAGCACGTACGTACGTACGTACGTGCTATACATGAGGAAGAACCCCTCTGTGGCTTGAAATTAGTAGTCTTTTCTCAATATTTTCACGTGGGTAACACGCGATTTTTAGTCAATTAAATAGTAGAAATATAGTAAATACTTACGTATGGAAATTATACAGTTCTCCTGTCTCCGGGTGCGTGGCAGTCAGGGCGATGTGTAGGTAATGTGGCTTACCGACGCGAGCGTGGCCTGAACTCGACACTTGAAGCATTTCGAATGGAGCGGATAACACTCTGTAAATGACAAAAGCACAATGCTCAAAATGTAAGACTATTATTTCACAAGCATTTCAATGACATAAAACTGTCTGCCTCGTTGGCCGAGTGGACGCATGTGCGACTACAGGGCAAGGGCCTCGGGTTCTATTCTCAAGTCAAGCAAAGTATATTACTAAGTTTTAAAAAAAATCTCAGTAGTAGCACGAAGTCTGGAATTGTGCCCGGTATATGGCAATAGGCTCACCCCCTATTACATGGGACTCATAATATAAATAGTGAAAAGTGGGTGTTACATTGTACAGTGGCATTAATTGCTATAATATACACCCCTGCCCCTATACCCCTTCGGGGATAAAAGGCGTGATGCTGTGTTTTTTTAAAACATGCAAAACTTTTTTAAAATTATTTTCTATTATATTGTATGGCGAAAAATTTACTAGGTACTCACGAAAAATAACACATTAATTCAGAGACAGCAATATCTAAGAAAATTATCTGTTAAAGCCGTTCAAATTACAATTTATTTTAATCACTTCATGCAAAAGTAGTCTCTAAACATCAGAAATAAGGTCTATACTGAAGTTAGTGGAGAGTGGTTACCGATGACCACTTGGGAATTTGACAGAACTTTTCAGTAACTTAGCATTATCCGCTTAATAATTTGGAAAAATAAACAATCAAAATACATACTTCTAAGATAGTTCAGGATAACATTTACCAATCAGGATGTAAAAACAAAATCAAACAAGTCATAATCTTACTTTCCAATAGCCTTGACATGTGGGTATTTCTTGAGCTGTACTCTCACTCCGATCTGGCCAGGTCCTCGTATCGTTACTACTCCATCAGAATCCAAAGAGAGTGGGTCTGGTGCCAACACACTCTCTATCTCCGACCATACTACAGGTTCATCACCACCTCCTAAGTGCTTTAGTGAGACTTCCCTGTAAACAATATTGGTGTTTATAACCTTTGTGATTAAGTGTAAAGTTGCTTGGAATGAAATTAGGAAAAATATTTTATGTTAAATGGAATTTGATCTTTTTCCATAGTGAATAAAGTTCAAAATTGATGTAAAATCGGAAATACTAAGTTCTCTGTAAAGAAAATTGGTGAGTATTAAAATTTATATTAAGTACAGTCAAATAAGAAAACGTAACGACTCTTTAAAAGAAATTAACATTAATGACCTGGAAATAAGACTCAAATTAGATTACCATATTAATACCATACTAAATAGAAATACTATGACATAAAAATACTTACTGCATTGTGTCTGTCCAGGATACAAATAGATGTGGTGGTATAATTTCTAGGGGCTCTATGGCTTCTGCTGATACTTGACCTTCCACCTGCAAAGAATTCGTAATTTTTAAAGTAGACTATAAAACGAAAACTAGAGCAAAAGTTCTAATATCTGCATCATTACAAACCTTTCGCGAAATAGTCCTCCCACCAATAGAATACAACTTCGCAGTGATAGCAAACGAACCAGCATTATGTGCAACCGCATCAGTCAAAGTTCCATTCTCCGTTGACCGCAAAAGGTCCACATTCGCTTCTCCTTCTACTGTAAGCCTTATTAGAATCTGGTCACCAGCCAATAAAGCATGGCCTTTGTCATCGAGAACAATGCAATGTACTACGAAGGGTTCGCCTTTGATGACTAAGTTTGAGGGACGTATAGAAACTCGGATAGAATGTGCTTCAGCAACTGTCAGTGTTGCCGTTGCTACTTCGGTAGCTCCTGACATTAGGAACACATTGGTCGTGCCTATGTCCGTTCCTTTGACTAAGCTGATGCTGTCTTCTAACAGAGCTATGCTTGTGTCTGGTACCTTTAAGTAGTATACCGTTTCTGTTATGTCTTGGACGGTGAGACGACCTGCTCGTGCCCTTACAACCCTGGAAAATTGTTTTGTGTCAATATTTGTTAGAGGTTTCATATAACTATTAAGAAATTCTATGCATAATCAGTAGAATTACGAATGGTAAATTAAGAATGGTCGCGAGAGCGACTATACTGAGCTGACCATGGTTCAGTACCAGGTGGGGCTGACTTTTCGATCTTAATAGACATCTGAAATAGACATATGTGATAAGTCTGACCAATAACGCAAGAATTTTCAACGTGTGAGTTGCTATGTGTATTGTAGTCCATCACTTACAATATAAATATTAACCCATAAATCACCAAGCGGTCACCGGTGACCGCTTTCCACTAATATTACATTACATTATAGACCTTATTTGTAATGTTTAGAGACTACTTTTGTATGACCAAATTTAGGGGGTGGATTTCAACGGGTTAAGAAACTCACTTGTATCTCAAAGAATCTCCCGGCACAATACTAGCGATCGCAGGCATCAGTACAACACTGGCGATAACTTGCAAGTTGAAATTAGTACAAATGTCTTCAAGGCACACGGTAACTCGAGACTCGCCCATTGCCTGACCATATAGAAGTACCGAGTGTGACCGAAGACCACGAGCTTCAAGCTCTGTGACACCTTTTGGAGCTTCATAATCTGTATCTCTCCAGCGGACTAGCCTGGAGAATGAACAAATATTAGTATAGAAGAGAATTCACAAGAAAATAATTCATAATTGGTACTTGGCAGTATTTCAATCGTGCTTTGCCAAATATCTCACTTCTGTCTGGCTGTATTAGTTTTGTGTATAAAATTAAGGAGACATATTTGTAGCCATTGACTATTTTAAAATTGATCTAAAGAAAAATTTATTGCAATGCAAATATTTTAAAGTACTTCACTTACGTAACTAAAGGATCTTCTCCAACATTGCTTCCGAGGTTCTCTATGCTCCATACAAAGCTTATACCTTCCAGTGTTGAGAATTTGTTTCCTAAAAGAAATTATTATTAAGTTACATTAGGTGCTTGATTTTTATAGCTTTTTTTTATTTTCAAAATAATTTATGTGCTATTTTATTTTAAATTGTTCAATAGCTATTTTGTTTCAGTAATATTTTAAGTATACATACATACATAACTTCACACCTGTCTCCCATGGGGGTAGGCAGAGACTAAGGAATGCCAATCACTACGATTCTTACATACCTCTTTCGCTTCATTAACAGTCATCAATCTTTTCATGCATGCTCATCGGTTAAGGGTACTTTTAATTTTGCCCTTCTTTAATATATCGCCAATCTGGTCACTATATGTCCGTCTAGGGCGCCCTCTACCGACGTCCCCATTCATATTCATATATATCATATATTCTAAGTATGTATGTACAATACAACACACAACATACATACATATTTAAGAGTATTACTTATACACAAAAACATACCCTGGTCATCATAAGCCACAACTTCAAAAGCTTCAGGAGCTTCTTCCAGGAACAGGTTCCATGTGGTACTCATAATCTTCAAAGACCTTATTTTGTCTATGTCCACATCACCTCGGAGAATCTGAACACACAATATTTAGATAAGAACCAGAGATGGCTTGAACCTAGAGCATGCTCTTGGCAAGCACCTCATAGGTTTGGTGTAATTATTATTTTGGCGCCGTCGATACTCTATGACCAGTTAGGGACGTGCATCTCTGTAACCTATAATCACCCCTCTGTAATCAGCAGCTGTAGCCAAATGCCACTTAGCGCTTGTCTACATGTAGAGTAGAAAACCAAATTATATGGAATTGACGTAAATTTTGACACTTGTCAGTGTCATCCCCATTCATTTTGATTTCTACTCTCTCTGTAGACAAGCGCTAAAGTGGAGTTTGGCTAGAGGCCCTGGCACTTCAGGCATTTGCTAGTTTATCTTAGGGATAACAAGGCTCTGGTTAGAACATACATTATTTTAATTATTTATGCTAGCCATGGATGAAATAATTTTTTTCATGAAATTAAAAAAAACTTCTTGTTAGCTTAGTGATTTGTCATACCAAACAGATTTTTATTACATATGTCAATTTTGCATGCTCATGATTGTTATGTAAATGTCAATATTTGTATAAATCGAATTTATTTTTACTATGTCTCTTATCTGAAAGATAGAAAAACTAATTCATTAATTTCCAATAAGATCAAAGTAAGTTCTAAAACTAAAGTAACAGTACAATATTGCCAGCTGTTTGCATACACATAAATATTATCTACAAACAGATCTGATTAGGTGATAATTCAGTAATGGAATAAGTTCAACAAACACAAGGCATATTTCCCGCCTTTCGCGTGTTAGCTTATTACCTCGCCTGAATGGACTTCTTCAGCAAGAATTATCACCGAGCCTGGTGGCACACAGGACTTGGAGACGGAGACACGCGCCGCCCGCGAACAATGACCTGTAGCATCATCGTACAGCGGCTCCAAGTCAATGATGTCATCGCGAGACAAACTCCTACAAAAACCATTTCATGTAATCACGTTCATCTTCAAACTTGGAACAAATAAAAGTTTATTGTTTTACTAGTATTACTTACCATGTGTAACAACCCCCCTCAATGATTTCAAAGGTGAAATTTATATTCAAATCCTCAAGCCAAGGTAACAACACCCTCGGAGTATTTATTTTGGCTCCATCACATGTGTGTCCAAGTAAACACAGCACTGATATGATAACTGCAGTCTTCTTAAACTCCATGATATTATTTTAGTAAATACATCAATATAGTTTAATTAATATTCCTATTTGGAAAAATCTAACCTATTCAACACAAATCGGCAAATCGCGCATTTCATTCAAACTTTTGACAGTTGTGTTTTTGACAGATTCGGTATACAGAATAAAAATGTTAGCAAAAACTATTCAATTTCTTTTATTATGGTTTTATTTCCGTCCATTTGTGTTAAATAACATAAAATAGAATGGACTCAAATTAACTGTGAAAGTTACTTCATCTATAATAATTTTTTTCAATACTGAATACAACATTCATAATATTTACGCATTTCCATCCATTTTCTCTATTGGAAGAAAAAAAAAAACAAAGAAATGTCAAAATGTTAAATATGGCTGCTGTGTATTCGTCATGTTTTGTGTCGTATTTTACATGAATTTTATAAATAAATGGCAAAATGAGTACGATTAGTAATTAATGTGAGACAATATTAACGATATTAAATAATAAAATACTGTTGGAATAACGGATAAGTGTCAGAAATCATCATGTCTTCAGACAAGGCTGCTGAAATAAAAGGCAACGAGATCGATAAAACCAAACGTCGTCATAAAACTGACGACACTGTTATTGCGACAGCGGCAACAAACGGTGTTGAAGATACAGTGCAATTCGCGAAGATGGAGTGCGCGGACGAAAGCGCGGGCAAGCCCACGGAGTTATGTCTTCAAGGCAACGCTCACTTGATTTCTAGTACAACGAGTAGTTTGGCCGATACGCCTGGTGATTCTGGTGTTTTGTGTTTAGATAGTGAGGCCTCGGAGGCCACGAGCCAAGCGCTTATGTCGCACAGTCTCATAGGAGCCGAGGAATTAGCCTGTGACAGTGTTTACGATGCCCCGCCGTCTTGTTCTCAAGACATGATCAAGAGTACCACTAGTAGCATTATGACTCGCAGTGATATCGACAATCAAAACATTGGTGTACCTGATGACATTGTGCCAGAATTAATTGTTGAAACCAATAAGAAACCAAGTCCGTATGAAAACCTACCAGATTTAGTGTTAAAAGCATTAGAAAGTGAAAAAGGTGCAGATGAATCTCGTAAGCCAGCTCTAAGGAATGAACCTAAGAAGTCTTTGTCTGAAGATATTGTTTATAGACGAAGATGTCGGAAAAAGTCTCAAAGTGGACCAAGTTCACAGAAGAAAAGGGTTTCATTCCATGAGGATATATTGAACAATACAAAAACAGATAACATTCATATTGAAAGAGGTTTCATATCTTATGGACCTGATAGTTCATACTGTGACAGGTTTAGGCAGAAGAATAACATCGTAACAGACAGATTCTCATGGTGTGCTTCAGGGGACAGGACACCAAAGTATGCGGCTGATGTTGCTCAACAGACTATGTCAGACATTCTCACCTATGGTGATTCCAAAAATGACAGGAGTGGTATATTTGAATACTGTCAGGATTATGAACAAGAAAATCAAGAGAACAATAACAATGACAAAGACAACAATAATGAACCCAGACCTACTGGGAAACTGTATGGATGTGACTCAAACAGCTCAGACTCTAATTTCAGCTGTGACTCTGAAACTTCATCCAGTGACTCATCCTCCTCACATTCTAATAAAACTGAAACTTCAATGCTCCACAGAAAATGTGACAAAGCGCAGAAGTCCTATTCTTGTGATGCATTCGAAAATAATGGGCATGTTGCATTCATGAGGAAAACATATTTCTCTGAAGCTGATATTGACCAATCAACTGATCGCATGAAAATGCCTCTTGAAGTTTCACACAGTCCAAATACAGTCAAATCTGTATTGAAGAAGAAACGCTACATAACTACTAGTATTGTTGAAGAAAGGAAGTCACATAATAAAGTATTAAATCTTTTGGATGCCAACAACATCATTGATTCTTTGAAGAACTTTTACAAGAATTTCAACTTCAATTTTGCACCCGAAAAAGGTTTGCCTGAAAATAGTTTGGAATTGAATAATGTTGTGGAAGCTCTACCATGTGATGTTAATCATAACAAAAAGCTTTCCAAAAGCCTTGACTCAGGGTTCCAGGCTGAAGATGAAGATGATTTTGTTGAAATAAATCTAAATGGCCAGCCGTTGGAGACTGTGAGACCCAAAGAAATAGCAACACCATCAAAAACCTCAGTGGCAGGTGAAAGGACTCCTAAAGAAGGTTCTCCAAGACATAAGCTCACACTCAACATGAAGGCTCAACTTGATAAGAAACCCAATAAAGCTGATCTCCCACCACTTAGCAAATATGTTGTCAACTGTGAGAGCACAGTATATGAACACAAGGGAGTCTCATACAGCTATGTCCATGATACATTCCAAACTGCTTTTGATGCTCCTAAAGAGACTTTTGTCCCTATACCTGAAACCACTCCCGTGACAGAATTAGTCACGAGCACAAGTAAGATAGACCTGACTAAATCCACTGATACTGACTCTTCCAGTAAGACATCAACACCCAAGAGACAATTCAACAAAAATATCCAAGACGAGACTGAACAAAAGAGTGGCATTTCCAAGCATTTGTCTTCACCAAAGAAACAGAATGTAAACAGATACAGTCGTAAATCGGCGTCAACAGTACAGAAATTGAACGACGAGCCAGCGCAAGTGAATAGCGACAACTGTTCAAACACCGACAATTCAACCTTGAAGGGAGCCGAGGACTTTAATGACGACTTTTTCGACAGTCCCGGCAATCAAAAGCTGCAATCCAACAAGTCGGCGTTATTGAACCGATACCTGAAGAATGTGTGTCAAAGGAAAGACCTTGAACTTAAAATAAAGAACAATAAATTCTTTCAATTCAAACTTCGAATGGAGAAACATTTCCCGAGCATAATATTTCCTTTGAAAGAGGTGTCTGATACATTCCACGTGTCTGCTGAACGTATGTCGAGGCTCATAGACAAAGAAGTGATAGAGAACAAAAGGTTGTCAGTGAGGCTGCTGACAGCGGACGAGCCGTCCTACTTTGATAGTTTCGAAGATAATGTCGCCATAGAATGTAATGAAAAGCTCAGGCTGCAAATATTCTCCTATCCAAATGAAACTTTAAATAGGGTAATTATGTTTGATTACTAAATCGCAACACAAATTTCGTTCACCGTAATACGACCTTGATTACGCGATGTTTTGTACAAGGTACTAATTTAGCGAATAAGTTTTGAAAACCATTTTAATCATCGGTCGAAAGGTCAATTTGATTCGGTTCAAGTAACAGAGTCGGTAACTATTTTTAGCCTTTCCTTTTGAGCTTTATTGAGTCTTACGTATTTGCAGATGATGAAAGTGAAATCCCCATATAATATGGATGATGGATCATGGACTCCTCTGCTGGTTTTCATCACTGACTATGCGCTGTACGTGGCTAGCGTGAAGCCTGGAGGTACCGAATACGAAATGCTGTGCCGGCTACCTCACAATGAGCTGGATGCTATTGTGGTAAGTCTTTTACTGACTGCAGGAATTGCAATGTCTTGAAGTTGCAGAAAATCTACCTTATTTTTCAGATTATTCTACTCAACTCTACAATGATGTCATAAGGAAAATTGTATGTAGGGAAAGCTAGTTATGCATTCTATACTGTGGGTTTTAAGGCGTACAAAGAGAAGCTACTGCAATATAGCATTACTCAATTAAGATAATCATGTCTAACAATATCGCGTAATCCCATTTCCGCTCCATAGAAAATACACCGCGTCTGTAAGCATGTGTTCTCTTCACTGTAAAATCTTCATATTTAACAGACTTCAAAAAAGGAGGTTCTCATTTTGACCTGTATTTATTTTATGCGCGATTATCTCGCAATTGACTGAACCAATTTTGATGAGGTTTTCAGAAAAGTGTTTGTTACACTTAACTTCAAAAAAGGGGGGTTGAAGTCGGTTTTTTTACATGTAGCGTATAAAAGAATTATTTCTAGCTTACAAATATAAGACGTAAATGCATTTTTAAAAAATCGGTACCTTTAGCGCTATTTATAGCCTCGCCCTATTATTTTCGCTCATCTAAGAAGTTGTCTTTGTCTAAACCGTTCCAACCACATGTGTTCATTTAACATTATTATCTGTAGACCATACAAAAAAAGTGTTTAACCACTGTGCCAACACTATCATCAAATCGATTAAATATAATTGTGCAAATAAAGCATATCATTATCTACTATTTTTAAGAGTATTTTGAACCTGAACATATAGATAGTTTATGCAATAAAAGACATAACAAACCTGGGTCAATATTTCAACGACTTGAATGACTCATTAATAATAACGACTTTACATGATACTAGCCTTATTAGCTCATTTGAACATAATATCGATCTTTTAACATTGCACGTTGTTTATGTATTCAAATCAATGCCCTGTGTCCTATGTTATGCAGATAGTAAACTACATTTTTTTTATTTAAAAAAAAAACAACCTCGACCAACGAGCATAGAAATCAATGCTAGCGTTCTTTGTTCATCTTCCATATGAAATGAAATTATCCTAAGAAATACCATACCATATACAGGTAAATTCTGAACGACTATACCAAACTGTCTTCATAAAGAAATATCCTTCTTTAATTTTATTCTTCGTCAATACCAAGAAAGGTGTTTTCCAAGTGAGTAAACAATTTACACCCGTTTGTTTATTAGCTAATTAGTTATTTGTTAACAGACAATATCAATTCTTAAATGTAAGATTAATAAGATAAGAAGTAACGAGGTAGGTCCTAATCCTCTATCGATATCATCTAGATATGTCTTACTTCGCGATAGAACAGGGTGAGTCACACAAAGTGCAACGTTATATAACTCTACATATGACTGGAAATGCCGGCTGCCCGGTTTGTCACCCCATTCAGTTTCAAATGAGGTCGCCGACATTGACTCGACGGCGACGGGTCAACGGATTCGATCGTACTGCTTTAGTTTACATGAACTTTCTTTCTTTGATAGTTCAGTTGTATAATAATCGGTGTTTATGGTATATAACATGTATTTGAATAGTCGAAGGTTTGCCAGAGGTTTGATACAATGTGTGTAATGTACTTTTCACTACTTATGTTATAAGTCCCAAGTAAAACAGTCTTGTCGTCAATAAAATAATTTTTACGAACATTTGTTTACATGATAGATCATTAGTTTACTCCCTACTCCAGATATTTTCCAAATTAACCTCTTTAGTTTATGTTTACTATAAAAACCTATTATCATTATCGTCAAATGAGATAACTGATAAATAATGAATCCCATTGTCAACATTGATTGTGAATATTGATTGTTTTTACAATCGAAACTGGTATCTTCCGGGTTTACAAATATTATTTAAGTACTTGTCAAATATTCATTTGTCTGATCGTTATCAATAATTGAGTAGGCAAGCTGCTAATAGTGATTTAATTACATGCTACAATTAACCGAAAATTTTCTTGTACCGACTTTTTATAATCGAAGATCTATGATAATAATGTAGATAATGATAAACCAAAAGAGTTATTCTGCAAATGAGCAATCAAATCACCATTAGGGTCGCCTAAGAGACACCACTGACACGTGCTTCAGAACAAATGTGCGTTCTTGTCGAAGCATGGTTATCCACTTTCCCACGTAATCTATGCTACAATCGTGTGTAGAAAGAAAGTCGTGATAAAATAGCAATATAAATAAAAATAATAATAATAAATAAGTCGGCGGTATTTCCGAACCGATGCGACCTTCAAACCTTCTAGAAAAGAGCGTACTCCTTTTTAAAAGGCCGGCAACGCATCTGTGACTCCTCCGGTGTTGCAGGTGTTCATGGACGGCGCTAATCGCTTACCATCAGGTGGTCCGTCTGCTCGTTTGCCTCCTATTCCATAAAAAAGTCGCGGAGAACTTAACGGGTTACCGGGCTCTGGCTCGACTCGAGAACGAACGGGGTGGTTTTTAGTCAGTAAGAGTCTGACACTCCCTCCCGCCTCACCCAGGCGGGAGCAGTCATTCGATGATTTTCCCCACTTAAAAAGAAAATCCATAAAAAATAAAATGTTTTCTTATGTATTTTAAATCCCTGTAATTCTTTCCAGGTTGGTCCGGAAGCGCAGTACATCCAAATCCTTGATATCGCGGGCAATATAGCGTGTTCTATCGTCACTGGGGAGGCTACGTTAGGGGCTCGGTTCGCATCGTCATTGGAATGGAGTGCCCGGACCTCACCGCTTAGGATCCAGCGGCCACCTGCCATGATACCGCTGGGATGTCGGGAGTTGGCGGCCGCGGTCGCTAGGAAGAGGCATGAGAGACGGGTATGTATCTTAACCAGTATTGAAAAGCAACAAGTCAAAGTCAAAACATTTATATTAATTAACACGTAATTAGGCACTTTGTAACGTCAAAAATTGTATTGTCCGTCCACCTGTCAGTGAAGCTCGAAGTTGCTCATTCCAAAGTGTAGTTTCGAATGGAGAAGAACGAGCAAGTAACTCTATCTAAATTCTGACTACTCCAATTGCAACATCGATATATATATATTCCTTTCCATAAAATAAATGTTTCATAAGAGTAGAGCCTTTCAATGATTCATTTTCAGTCAGAAAATATCTAAGTATTACTGAACAAAATCATCGTTTTTGAGAAGTTGCTATGGTTACCGCGTCTAGGGATTGTAGTTAGGTAACTAAAAGCTTAGAGAAGGCTGTTTTCTGTGCCTCGGTGGTAACTTGCAATTTTAGGACATCTTTATGCCCGGAGACATAATCTGTGAATACAAATGTAGATCACTACAAAGGGGTCAAGCCATGTTGCTACCGATAGGAATTAACATTATATTGTCATACAACATTTTTAGGCACGTTTCCAGATGACGACAATGCGGAGAACTACTTTCATTCTTCATCATAATGTATAATGTATTTATATCTTTCTTCACGTATTTGGCATTTATATATACATGGTATTGAAAATTTAACTTATATTTATGGAAAAAAGGGAAATCTATAAAATATGTAAATATTATGTTTATCAGCAACGTTAATTATTTTAATACCCATTTCTCTGGTATTATCCGCAAAGTGTTGCCATAGTGAATAAACAATACTTACATTCAAATAGCAAAACAATAAAGGTTCGCAACAATAATGTATTGAAAAGACCTATTTTTCTTTTAATTCCATTCAATAAAAAACATTCAATTGTTTTCTAAGTAATACCTACTTCTTTTAAGGCTATCGACCTTATAACGTCACTTTAAAATTTATTTTCCTTTGACCTCGGTGCTCAATATAGAATAACAGTATTATGATAGCAAATTATTATCATGCCAATGATTGGCAGCTAGCAACGTGGTTTTCATTGCGGATTACCGACCTTTGTGTGCGTGTGTGTCAAACTGAGTTCTGATAAGAACCGTCAATGAATTTGTTTGTAGGTAATTGTCAGAAACGAAAATAAAAGACACTTTCACTGATACTATTCAAGTAATACATAAAAAATATTTTTTGTTTTTTTTTATGGCATAAGCCTGATGTTAAGCAATCGGCGCCGCCCTAGGACACCTGAAACACCAAGGTGTTACAAGTGCGTTACCGGCCTTTTGGGAATTGGGCATTTGAGGATTGTGGTGTCCTCGGGGATTGGGGAAACTGGGGAAGGGCGGTAATTGGGACTCTGGTAACCTCACTCACACGACGAAACATAACGCTAGCGTTTTTCACGTTGGTTTTCTGTGAGGCGTCGTGGTATCACTCCGGTCGAGCCGGCCCATTCATGCCAAAGCATGGCTCGCCCACACTTAAGCCACCACACTTATCACACTTGTTTAACGGTTTTAATGTGTATGGTCATCAAGAATAAAAGTATGTACCGAAAATCTGATGGTCCTAGTCAGGAAGGAGTAGAAATTCCAATTGCTAAGATAGTCCCAAACAAACAGGTCACGCTAAATAAAACCGCTTAATTAAACCTAACTGAGCTATTAAACTCTCAGTAGTTTTTTTTTATTTTTTTTAAGGGGGGAAAATCATCGAATGACTGCTCCCGCCTGGGTGAGGCGGGAGGGAGTGTCAGACTCTTACTGACTAAAAACCACCCCGTTCTTACTCCTGCACGTCGAGCCGGAGCCCCGGTTACCCGTTAGGTTCTCCGCGACTAAACTCTCAGTAGTAACACGAGTCGAAAATGGTACCGAATGTATGGCAATAGGCTCGCCTCCTATTTCATTTCATAGCAAAATCTGGCTCTTGTATCACACATGGTGATGTCATGTTTAAATAATCATAAAAGAAATAATAATAATAATTTTTCCAGATACCACAAATCCTTTTCTACGGTCGTGTATGTTCTGGCGACGCGGGCGACCGACTCATTGAAGCGCCGGGAGCATTCGCACCTCCTCTAGAGGGATACTTAATGTGTAGGACTGACAGGAGTAGGCGATTTGAGCCTTGTTACTTCTTGTTAAGGTAAGTTTTACAGGAACTGTTATTATTTGTATATTATACAAAGATTATAGTAATGAAGCACAATACAGAAATAATGGTGCATAGCTATGTACATAACATTTAAGAAGAACTGGTCATATTGCTATGATACTTAAAGTAATAAAATTGCAAAGTTGGCATTGGTTGGTTCTAGTCTAACTAGAAACACACATAACATAACATCACACATTTTATCTCCTAACGCAAAGGTGCACGTTACGGCACTTAATGTACAATGAAACACCCACTTTTCAAAGTCAAAGTCAAAGTCAAAATTATTTATTTCAATTAGACCATAGAGGCACTTTTGAACGTCAATAAAGAAAATTAACAAGTGAAGCTATTTGCTCATTCCAAGGTGTAGATTCCTATGGGGAAGAACGAGCAAGAAACTCCATAGGTTACTCTTTTTCAATCAAGTTCACAATTCTCCAGTTACATTTCACTATTTATGTTACGAGTCCCATGTAATAGAGGGTGAGGGTTCTAACTAGAATTAAAATAGCAATGTGTGTGATCCCAAAATTATCATTCCGTGTCTGTATGTGAAAGAATTTCGCAGCCATGAGACAGTATCACCTCCTGAATGGTAAGTGCGTGGAAAAACAAAATGAGCAATGTTTTTAAAATCGATAATTCATTTTTTCAGAGCCGGAGTCCTACACTGGGGTCCTCACTCTCCAGACGGTACCTCGCCCCTCCCCAACAACATCGCGCTCCGCTCAGTACTTGGAGTCCGAAGACACCTGGACTCCTCACGTCGGCCGCATTGCTTCGAGATCGCTCTAGCAGACAATAGCAGGCTCTTGTTAGCAGCTCCTGATGATGCTACTGCGTCTTCTTGGCTGCAGAGCTTATTGTTACATGCTGCTCAGGTGAGATAGAAATTAATATAGGCTTTATTGGTATGGGATAGAGCTGGAAGTCTTTTGGACGAGTAAGTACTGTGGAATTACCGCATAAAGTTAAAAAGTATAGTATCTGTTTCTGTACTTGAACTCTTTCCTACGGTACACGTTGTTATAACGTTACAAATGTACTCATGATGAGGCCTATAGTCTAGTAATGGCACAACTAAAGGCACTCAAGTGACCAGAATATAACGACTAATATATCATTTAAATATATATACATACATAATGTTTAGGCTCTCGAAGAAAAGGACGGTGCAAAGAAGTCAAGCGACCGGCCTGGCCCTCCACCAGCCTGCACAGTCCTGGTGACCCCGACCGAAGTTATCAGTGTACGCGACACGTTGGACCTCGCCTTCGTATCGGGGGCCGCTGCGTATCTCAAGGACAGGGGCTCCGATGCTTTGCTCAAAGGTAGAATAGATTTTAAATTCTAATACTATACTCGGAATTTTAATTCGATTCCAGATTTGACAATTTCAATGTTCCATCGTTATGACAAGTACTAAATAGTGACGTTGCGAAATTATTCGATATGGAAATGGATCGATTCTTCTCGTTTATAATTTTACTCTCGTAAACTAAGTATATCAGGAAATTTAATATTTCTGAACCGATAATTTAGTTTTGACGATTAATTAACGATCTGAGACTTTTCTTTTATAATAATTGTGCGTGAAATAAATAAAAAATGTAATCATGAAGGAACATAACAAATAAAATATATTATGGTAATAATTTATTTTATAAATTGTCGCCGTCATCGCTATCGCTATCCTGTCACTTTCTGTAACATTTATTATAAAACACACACACTGATTGTGTATCGATTTTTGTGTTCATCACTACACTATTATATGTGGTATCATTATTTCACAAAATGACAGTAGCTAATGTCAAATCTGGAATCGAATTAAAATTCTGACTATAAGGTTGTATATCTGTGCAAGTTTGATATAGGTAATTATGATAATTAAATTAAGAAGTATTTGTGTCGGCATTTTTTACAAAATTTAAAACCAAATTTTACATCAACAGCCTATAAGTGCCCACTGCTGAGCAAAGCCTCATCTCATACGGAGAAGGTTTGAGCATTAATCACTACGCTTGCTCAATGTGAGTTGGCGATTTCAAACTTAGAAATTATAAGCCCAGGTTTCCTTCACCGTTTGTCAGTGGTGTCTAAATAATCTTAGAAAGTACATATAACTCGGAAAAAGTCGCACTCTATTGCAAACGCACTATTTCTGCTTGTATAACAACTTGTACAAAACATCACAGCAAATATAATAGATAATGTTAGATTCAACTAAATACATTATATAAATATTTTGTTTTAGAATATATAGAGGAGATGCGAACAGACATCGAGATCCTAGCGTGCGGCTCCATCAAGAACTTGACCGCCTTCAAGATACCTGACACCGATGAGAACTGGTGTTGTTTAGTAAGCACACTTTCATATTAAACATATAACAAAATATCCATTCCATCCATTAATGAATGTAGTAAATCACATTTTGTAAATTAAATTAAGGGTACAATAGTAATATTGTGCTTAATACGTTTTATCTATTTTATTTATTTAAGCTTCATGCACAAAGTGTACACAAGGTGGACTTAATGCCGCAGGCATTTTCTCCCAGTCTGACCTTTGGGTGATGCAGAGAAAAGTTAATGATGTGAGCAAGAAGCAAGCAACGATTTAATTGAGCAAATAATTTAGATACACTTACATATTTCAAAGATAAACATACGTAAAAATATACGTTGATCGTACCGAAAATATGTTCATACAAAAGTAGTCTAAACATCGGAAATAAGGTCTATAATGGAGTCAGTGGAGAGTGGTCACTGTTGACCGCTTGTGGATTCAGCAGTTAAACCATAATATCTTATTTATCAATCATCTCGAGTGACAACTAGAACAATCTTTTGGAGATTACTAAATGTAAAATCAAACAAACTTTTTCTTGTCACATTTAATTAGTTTAATGTTGATGTTGAAAACTAAAGAGTGGGGCAACATTTAAGTAACAATTAAGAAAAATAAAATAATAATGTTTTTCGTTTTGTGTATACAGGAGTGGAGTGTATGCGAAGCTCGCGAGCGTGGCGCGGGGCTGGCGCTGGTAATGGCCAGTGGAGCCGAGCTGGAGAGGTTCATCGCTGCCGTGGAACAGGCCTTCTGTGCGCTCACTGTAAGTAGACATAAACATTTGTTTGGAAGGAGTTACAAGATTTAGTTCTTAAACTATAACAACAAACCGCTTGCAAAAATATGATATAAAATGTAAAGAAAAATCTTTTTTCAAATATTTAAGTCTAAAAACTGGTACTGGTGATTTTCATGCGAAGCGTTGATTGCTTACCATAACATTAGGTAATCAGTCAGCTAATTTGCCGCCATATCTCATAAAAAATCGATTATAAAATCGTGAATATTTTAATTAAAAATTAGACGTACCAACTAATAATTATTTTCTTTTCTTTCCCAGTGCGAGCCATTCCCGCTAAGCGTAGTGGAGGCGGCAAAATCTGCTTGCAGTTCCGCGCACACGAAGTACGAAACCGCCTGGTCGCATATGTTACCGCAACAGTAATCGACAACGTGTACACATCACTAGTGGTAAGATTGCATTCACTAGGTACTCAGTAGCTAGGGATGTGGGAGAGAAGATTTTCATCGATATCGATAATTAAAACTAAAGTACTTAAATGTATGGAAATTATTAACATTCTGTTTGTTTGGTGAAGAAAAATATGTTGCTAATGTTTTTAACGCGTCTTGTTCCTGGAAATTGAATCTTATCACTAAGATGTAACGGTTTAGACTTAACTGTAATAGGAAATGTGAATTTTAGTTTTAATTATTATCATAAGCGCTTTTCGCCTTGTTCTCAATAAATAGATATAGTGGACTTAGAATGAATTTCGTCATAGTATATATCAATTTTGGCAACACCATACAGAAGTTAGTCAAAAGCTAATACCTAAACCATGTGACGGTTTCTTATAAATCTCATTTTAGAATTATACATTTCGAATATTAACAAACATCTAAAAGAAATAATATATTCTTAGAATTAAATTAAAATAAATGTGAATTCTTGTCAAAAACTAAAGTTCGAAATATTGGAACTAACCTTTATGGTGTTGCCAATTTCTCAAAACGAAAATAATCTCAAATACTCAGTTGTAGGTTAATAAATATTCAGTGAGAAGATGAAAGGCGTCCTGCGAGCACAATATAGTTAAATTGTATAATAATAATAATATAGATACGCTTCCACAGTTGATATTTCGCTCATAAAATAGATAATCTCTTTGAGTTTTGAAGCAAACATAAACTATACAAAATTGATATAACTTAAAAAAAAGTATTTAATCAAATAATGCTACATTCCATTTTCAAATGACTTGCGTTTGACCAAAGACAAAAATTGAAGGAGGTTGTATATGTTACTGTTTGCTTCAGAACCCAGTTATTACTATATTATACCTAATAATAAGTATTGTGTATCGTTATTGTTTATCTATTAATATTATTATGTATTCGAATAATAATCTTAAATAATCAGTAGTTAACGTTTTCATGTTTCGTAGTTATATGTCACAAACCATTATATTTATGTACTTATTGTTATTATGTTAATGCTATAAAAATATTTATCTTTTATAACAATAAAGTTGACGATTTTTATAGCAATAATGTACACAAGAATATTGATATTAAATCGAATACTATTGAAACATGTATCATAAATATTTAGCTCTTAAAATAATAATAATAATTAATCATTATTTATAAATCGGCCAGAGTTAATCGTTAACGCGCTGATACTTTGAGAATTGTATAGAAATATTAATTGTATCTATATTATATTTCATTCTGGTCACATTTCCCAAAATTTTGTGTAATAATAATTATTTTGTATATCTATATATCGTTCTGAAGACGCGCTAGTTATGTTTTAGTGCAGTTTCCGAACAAAAAGCGCTCATACTATTACTATTATTATGGAGGGAACAGTAGTGGGGATTAAGCTTGGCTAAGTGTACTGTGATTTGCGCTATTCTGAAACTTGACTGCGAAAATGTCTCTCAATAAATCGATTATTCGGTAATCGATACAAAGGGATATCGATTAACAAGTTTACAGAATAAGTATGCTTCGTGTGACGGCTTAGTAGATTTTGTATGTGGAAAATAAAAATCATAGTTTTTTTTACTACAAACCTTTTTTAGCTTTATTATTTTTAAAGCTAATTTTAATGGTTTTGTTTTAAAAGTTCGTTTCGTTTTTTCAAAAGGGAATGTTCCCCGGGGTTGACGATGGTGTTGCAAGCTTTAATATTTCTTTGGAAAAAGGTCTCAAAAAATGTTATTTATATTTATGCTATTAGAACAATTTCGTGACGGTTGTCCGCTCGTTACCAAATATATCAATTGTATATCATTTCGTATGTGTATTAGGCCACTGTACGGCCGTGTGATATTAATGTATATTTAGGGTAGGTATTAGCGCATCGTGAACCGTGAAAGCGCGTTATTTTATCTATATGACGAAAAATTTCTGATTAGTTTTCTAATTTACGAAGAAACTGCAGTCATTCCAGGTTTTTTTAAGTCGAAAATGTACGTTTTTTCACCTTTTTGTCTTGTATTGTCAAATGTTTCGTATAGATAAAATTACGTGACAAGAAGTAATAATTGCAAGTTTAATAAAATTCATAATGATTACTTCATAGTCAGTTTGAAAACATACATACTTATTGATATGAATATTATGTATTCCCGGATATGTTTATGTACTTGTGTTCCCATTTATTTGTTGTATTTCCTTATATTATTGCTTTGTTTATAATGTTTATTACATTTTATAAACTTGTGTATGTGATTGCGCTTTTACTAAAGACTATTTTACGTAAAAATAGGATTAAAAATTGACCAGTTCGAAACTAAAGAGGTTGTAACACAAAATGGTGCTGGCACCCAAACTTAGTTTGAATTTCGAACTGTTAATAATTTGACAGATCAATTTTTTTAACAGTCTGTTCTCTTTGCACGAAATTGTTTTCTTATTTTTACGTAAAAGTAGTCGAAACTCTTTGCTACGTAACTGTGATTTGTGTTGTTTACCATTAAGTTTGTTGTTTATATGCATAATATTAGATCAATGTTTTTAGCTTTTAGTATTAGATAATTATTTCAATATTATTATACAAGGATTAATCAATAGAACTTAATATGAAGACTATTACTATAATAGAGTAGTTGAAAAAAAAAACACATTTAATAATATTATTATTTTGTGTGAATCCAAATTGTCTATAACTATTAATTATTGTCTTGTTGGGAATATTGTAAAGTGCATGGTATTGTAAATTTTATTATTTACGATTAAATAAACAAATTCTTGATCTTGAGTATTGTACAACAAAAATTTTGAAATATAAAATTAAAAATCTTCTTTGGTAACTACAAAATCGATTTACAAATTGATATTATCAATTGGCTATGATAATTATTTATTAATTGGTTATTTATTTTTGTTAAATTATTTTTATACTTATAGAAATCACGACTGTATCTTCCGTTCTTATTGTAAAATATCTAAAACTTTGTTTAGATGGATAATGTATGTTAAAAGCATCTCAACTTTGTAATTTTTACACTACTTTTTTTAAGTTTTAAAGGTTTGATTGGCAACACTGGAGTAATACAAACTTGGGTGTTGCAATCATCCATAGACTCTAGGTAGGTTGTTCTGTACTTTAATTTCGAATGTTCAAAGTGAACTCCATCGTGTGTCGCCATGTCATTGGTTGTGACTTTGTGAGAATAATCTCGATCAATAACGGGCCAGAATGCGATTGAATTGCAATTTCGAATTGACACAATATTTACTAGCTGTAACTATTTTCTATCAAACAGGTCGTTAGCTTGTTTGTCACAGGTACAAAAAAGAAAGAAAAATAATACTTCATACTTTTTTATTTTTGTACTATCATAAAACGTAGGTCAACATTCATTCCATTGGACTTTGGCTAAACATTTATATAGGTACCATACGCCACTCAATACACAAATCAAATTAACTCTTGTAACTTATAAAATAAAGTTCAAAATTAACAAAGTTGAGATGTTTTTAACAACTATCTCTAGACTATCAATCCCTTCCCGTAGGTACACGTAAGTATTACTAAGAACAATAATAATATTAAACGCTGTATTATGTAGAGAATTTTTGATTGTAACGTTATATATGGCTAGGACAAGTAATGCGATTAGTCGCACCGTAAGTGCACAGTCGCAGTTATTTGTCGAGCTAATCGCAAAACCTTTTCTTGTAATAGTATGTGTCTCTTCAATGTTGTATTGTGTTGCTGGTCTTGCCGGTATAAGTAATATCCCATGTATTCTTGTTATAAATACTGGCCTTTTATATTTGGATCCTTCTAAAGATGTTTTTTTTAAATTAATAAGGGGTGTGAGTACCTAATAATGTTATACTTCTAGAAGGTTGTGGAAAGATGAGCGTGGACTCTGTATACAATTGTGACTTGTAGCAGCAGTTAGTTTTCATCGAACCAAATGTAGAAGTTTGGGGGAAATCTTTTCGAAAAACTTTTCTGGTATATCGATAGATCCTCTTGTTAAAAAATATCTCTTTTTATGCAATGAGCCGGTAAACGAGCAGGTGGATCATCTGGTGGAAGCCATCGCCCATGGACACCTGAAACACTAGAGGCGTTACAAGTGCGTTACCGGCCTTTTGGGGATTGGGAATTTGAGGATTGTGGGGGATTGGGGAGACTGAGTCTCCAAAGTATTTGTTATCTTGCCCTTTAATTAAATTCTTATATCGCAGGCGATATAATTATTAAATTTTGCAAAGAATATTCCTAAAAAATTCCAAAGAACTTTATATTATTATTTATATCTTTTTGTAGAATATTTCCTACTGTTGAAGAGACACAGCAAAGAAACCATTTTGTAGTATACATTGTATGCCCTAACTCAGCATAAAGGCAATTCGAATTTAATATCGCTTGACATTATTGTTCATGTAAACAATATAATAAATATTTGCGGAAGTATTTTTATTTGTTTTTATTTTGTCACCTTTCTATGGAACTATAGGCTCCTTAGTCTTTTTTTTAAGGGGGGATAATCATCGAATGACTGGTCCCGCCTGGGTGAGACTCCTAAGGAGTGTCAGACTCTTACTGACTAAAAACCACCCCGTTCCTTCTCATGCAGGTCGAGCCGGAACCCCGGTAACCCGTTAGGTTCTCCGCGACAGGCTCCTGAGTCTTGGGTGGCATTTAAAGATCTTTGCATGAAAAGTGAAAATGTCGACCATGTAATTATGTGATATTAATGTCAACACTTTAAGTCGGTACCTATGTATTTAACCTGTTGAAATATCACCCCTAAATTTGTTCATACAAAAGTAGTCTTTAAACATCGGAAATAAGGTCTATAATGTAGTTAGTGAAGAGCAGTCACCGGTGACCGCTTGGGGATTTTATTCTGTTCGTTAACGACTGTTCCGTAAAAAAAATATTAAAATCACCGAACAGATACTCCAAATAAACCATAGCAAGAGGACAGTGGACATGTTGTTTAATGTTTACCTTGACATAAATGCCACCAGTGAATTGTTCATCTTATGCAAGTATCAGATCTGCAGATCCATAACGAAAATTTCCTGCGTCAAATTATATTTTAACTCGTCGAGTACCGGTTTTGTAGACACAATTATAGAACAATAGGTTGCGGTCACCGGTGACCGCTTGGTGTTTGACAGTTTAAATACAAAATCATGTCCTTTTTCATTAAATGCATTTTTCTAACTAAACTTACATATTACGCCATATTGAGCAATACCCAATTAATTAATTATGCGTAAAATGTTATTCTCGTTCTATAAAACGGGATTGACAAGCGACTAGAGAACGCTATGAAACCTGTTTGATAGCCGACCGGTAAACAACACACCTCCGAGTCGATGTCATTAGAGCAATCGGTAGGAATTGTGACGCAGGAGACTATTTTAAATGTAGGTAAATTTTATTTGTTCTTTGTGTTTAAGAATAGACAGAGCAGAGCGACCATTATATAGATAATGGCAACTTATTAGGTCCTAAATTACCATGATAAATGAAAATTAAAGTGTCTAAAAATCTCTTACTGAGTAGATGCAACTAGACTGCTACAGAAAATTTAGAATTAAGCCTTTATCTATCTTTGTCTGACATAGAAATCGTACCTACCTATAATGTATGCAAAATTAAAATCAACGGTTTCTTAAAGAACAGTACTTATATGTGTAATATGTATGTACAGGTACTTACGTAAAAAGGCAGTAGGTACTTATATGTATATCTATTACATAATATGACTGTCTCGTTGGCCGAGTGTTCGCAAGTGCGACTGCCGGGCAAGGGGTCTCGGTTTCGATTCCCGGGTCGGGCAAAATATTACTGGGATTTTAAAAGGAGTCTCAGTAGTAACACGGAGACTGGAAATGTGCCCGGTATATGGCAATAGGCTCACCCCCTTACATGGCACTCATAACATAAATAGTGAAGTGGGTGTTACCTCTGTGTGCACCTCTGCCTACCCCTTCGGGGATAAAAGGCGTGATGTTATGTATGTTACATAATATACTTAATTAATAGGTAATTATGTTATTACTATTTAACTCATTTTAGGAAATAATTAATTTCAGGATAAAGTATTGATGGTCTAGCTCTACTATCGATAAATGAGGGAACTCTAGACACTTTCGAAAAGTTGTTATTAGCAAAGTGGGCAGGCTTGGCTTAATTTGTAGATACCTTGTTGTCATAAACATTGTCACAACGGTGTCAACAACATTCAGGAAACTGTTTATGTTGTTTTGCACTGATTTTCTGCGTAGTAGGTACGATTCGAGTATATTAATATGCTAAAGAATGCACGTACCTACCTAGGTACTTAGGTACTGAATAATATTAGGTAAATGCGTGCGTGGGTCTATATGGCTGATATTTCCACCTGCTTCCAGGTAATCTCACTTAGCCAGCCTAGGACACATAGGTCAAGGTAATCTACCTACAATAAATCAAATTTCTGTGACAATAGCAGCAAAACTCAGATGGGTAAGCTACTCTACAGGATGTAAAATAATGGTTTACGAGTAGCAGCGCGACAGTCGCCGCGTCGCGGGTCGTGAAATTCTGCTAATGAATATAAGCCCCCAGCATGGCTTGAAACTAGTAGAGTTCCTCGTCAAATAATTACATGAGTAATTCGAAAAACATAATACCTAATTAATTTAGTACGTCTCACGAAAGTTATAATATACTTAAATACTTATAGGATACCTATACTATGATTACTTGATTAGGTATTTGTTAACTAATTGAGCTTTTTTGAGTACCAAAAAATTTTCTAGAAAGACTTTCTTTACAATAAATTTTGTTATGAACGAAAATACCCACAAATATTTATACTCATTCATTATTATCTCGTAACTATGTACTTCATTACATGTTTTGCTATTTATCTGTATCTCTTACTTACATACCAATCTTTATCATAAACAAACCGGCCACATTTGCATAGCAGTCGGGTAGTAAACTTCGAGAGATCGACATAGTGGCCTAGTCGGTTCTCTCTGTTCATTCGAAGATCACGTCTGCCAAGATGGAAGAATTAAAGGTGAGATTTGGTACCTTACTTTTTTTACTTACGTGAACATAAATTACGGTAACTGAGTACCTATTTATTTAAGAGGATTGTTTGTACATAATTACGACACAAGATAAATATTTTGAAGGTACTTAATGTAGGTATTTTTAGTTACTGCATAGACTAGCGACTAAAGAAGTATGCATGCCAGCCTAAGTCATGTAAGTAGTCGGTGTTCTCTGCCTACCACCTACTACAATGTGTTAAAGTCGTCAGTTTCAATGTGTGTATGTGTAAATACTTATTTAAAAGAGTCTTTGGTTAAATATTTTTCACTAGAACAAAATTATATTTCACTCCCAGTGTTTTGCTGGCCTTTAGGATAAAATAGGCATTCTATACTATGGGGACGTGTCGCGGATAACCTAACGGGTAACCGGGACTCCGGCTCGACCTGCAGGTGAAGGAACAGGGTGGTTTTTAGTCAGTAAGAGTCTGACACTCCCTCCCGCCTCAACCAGGCGGGAGCAGTCATTCAATGATTTTCACCCCTTAAAAAAAAATACTATAGGGACGTGTTATACAATTGATACAGATCACGGTCTCCATATACCTCCACAAAATGTTATAGTTTCTCTCAGTTTAGGTAGATTTTGTGTGAAAGATCGAATGACAAACACACATAGACATACTCGTTAACATTATCTACTTAGGTTTGATGAGAAACCAGTTCCGCTGAGACTTGTTAGGGGCAAGTTCGGCGTATAAATAGAATTACCTATATTGTTAGTGTTAGTTACCTTCTATTGAGAATCAGGTAGGTAAGAGATTTGTAAGAATGTTTTCACATAAGAACTTTAGAATTCTTTTAAATTGATCGCACTTGGGTACCTACCACAGAAAATACAGAAATATATTTTTATTATATCTATGGTACCTACCAACTATTCTTTTAAATCTCGAAAACAACTCGACTAAGTACTATAATATCTACCGTTGTTTATACTTCTACTAATGCAAATTACATTTTACTTAATATTGAAGTTTATAAGAAAATACTTTTCATGCTAAAAACACCCTTAAGCACGGACTAATAACTACCTATCGATCTGTATTCGACCTCAAACTATTTGTAGGTATCTATAAGGTACATAATCGATATCTAATCTACAGAATCAAATCAAAACATTTAGGTAAGTATGGCGATTTGTTAAATCATAATTACGTGTACAGTCTAAGTATACTATAACATAACATAATATCACGCCTTATTTCCCCGAAGGCGTAGGCAGAGGTGGACATTTCGACACTTAATACCACTGTACAATG